TCGAGCAGCTGCATCCCTTGCTGAGTCAAGATATAGTATTTGTGATTAGGATTTTTACTTTTGTTAAAATGTACGATAAGGCATTTTTTGTAGTTGAGACGTAAGCGCCATGTTAGAGTCCAAGACAAAATATGATTTATATTCTTCTTGGGCAAAATATGATTTATATCCTTCTTGGGATTGCTAATAAGGACTATAATGTTATTGATGTATAAGATGAATAGAAGGAATCCTAGAACAGATACTTATGGGACACCACTGGTGACTGGTAACCAATCTGAAATAGCAAAACCCAAGACAACTCGTTGTGTTCTGTTAGAAAAAAAGAATTTATCCAAATAATAAGAAGCATATAGGAAAATCTTGGTATCGCAGATATTATATCCAGAACGTTTGAGAAGCATAAGGTGTGTCAAATGCTTTTTCATAGTCTAGATATAAAGCATCTACACTATAGCCTCTTGCCATTGAGTACGAGATCTGATTGACAGTTTCTAATAAATTTGTAATGCATGATTTGGCACAAACTGATACATGCTGATTTTGAAAAAAAAAAGTTTATTAGCACTTAAAGTTAGACAATTTTTACATTATGCTCTAGGATTTTGCAGCAGACAAAAGTTAAAGAAATGGGTCTGTAGTTTGATGCATCAAGTTTGGATCCTTTATTGTGAAGCGGTCTAATTATTAGTTATTAGTATAAACTATTTATAATATTATGACACTTACAATGATATGAAATTTTTTTTTAAATTTCTGGATCACATTTTTTTTTTTTTGTAGTTATTTTAGGTGCTCCCAGAAGTCCTTGCGGTCTTATCACAGAGCACCGCGGGATCACATTGATAGATAGTAAGTAAACATCAGTGTCTATAAGTCCAAGGTCTATAACTAGCTAAGGAATTAAATTGCATTATTCAAGCAATGATTGATTCTTTAAATATATTAAAAATTATCAAAATAAGTCAAATTAATTCATAAATCCAGGTATTTTAGTTATCCAGCAAGTTTTATCAATTATATGAAATTTATCTTCTAAAATAATAAAAAATTTTAAGTCGATTTGCATTCGATTGTTAGACATTTTACCCAATTATTTGGAGCTTTGAAAACGTTGTTACCTCTATTTTTGATGTTCCTAAGAGTAGTATAGTACTTCTTACACATTTTCTCTAGATAAATACTCTGAGAATCTTTGATATATTTGTTCCATATATTTATTATAAATATATGGAATATATATATAAATTTTATATATAAATATATATAAATTTTATATATTTTTATATAAAAATATATATAAATTTTATATATTTGATCAATTTTACTGTCAGATTTTAAACTGTCTAAAATATCTCTAGTCCATTCCTTTCCTTTGAGAGCAATATTTTCTTCTTGCTCGATGTATATCTTTTCGTTAGATATTTTCAGGGTTGCCAGATATTTCACGATATGCGGTAGCCAGAAATATATGATTAAGTAGCCAGAAATGGCCAAAAAGTAGCCAAATTTTCCGCGATGGCATTGGTTTAATTTTGAAAACGTATATCTTATTGGCTATAATAAGACAATCGGATAAATTTGAACCAATGATAATTTAGATCATGTCAACATACCGTAAAAACTGTCGTTATATATATATATATATATATATATTATATGTCGTTTCATAACCGTAGTTAAGAAAAATATAATATAAAAGCAAGTTAAGTTAACTAGTTAAATAAATAAAAACTTCTTTTTATGGATCCTTTAATAGAAAATTCTTAACTATTTAATAATAAACAATTATTATTATATATTTTTTTTTCAAAAAGGTTAAATTTTAAAAAAAATAAATAAATGTTTTTATTTAATTTAATATATATCCTCTTTATAAAAGTCCTTTAAAAAAATGCCTCATATTACAATAACACATATTTACCATTTAAGACGAAAAAAAACTTTGCATTGAGAGTTTATTATTTTTTGTTCCATTTTAAAAGATTTTTTTATATAACTTGAATAGTCCCCAAAAATATAGTAAAGTTTTTTGAAAGAATTTTCCCTAAACAAACCTAAACAAATTATTTAAGTTAACATACTAAATAAAACTTTTGTTTTGATTTTAGTTGACATAATTATACAATATTAGAGCAAGCGTTGTTGCCAATAAAAAAAATTTAATGACTATTTCTATATAGATTGCTTCATTATTATATTAATTTGGGGTAAAAATATTTATTAAGAGAAATAAAACCATTAACTAATTTTTTTTTAAGTTTTCTATTACACAATCCGTTAATTGTACACATAATCATTAATCGTCCTATATATCAACTTCAAAGTCATCAATATTTTCTGAAAATAAAGTTTCCAATATCAGATTTGTATACTATATCCGAACTAAAATTAGTCAGCATTTTTTTTGATATAGTAAAATTTTGACAGCACTTTTGTGATAAAATTAGTTCCGATCTTATTCTTACTACAGCATCTAACATATTTAGTGAAATTCTATTTCTGGCTTTTGATTTAGTGGCAGATACAAGAGAGAATATCCTCTCAACAACAGCATTGTTAACAGGTGTTATTAAACAAGTTAAGGCATAGTTTGCAAGGTTTTTAAAAGTGTTATGCTGGAGTACACCTAGCCAAAACTGCACAGTATCAGTTGGAAAACCACCTGTTTTAAATGGTTCTTCTTCTTTCCAATCTACAAATAGAATTTTTCGATACTGTTCTTCTATTAAGCCCAAGTCATCTTTTAATAGGTGTAAAAACGGCAGTTCAGAAACATCAGGTCTTGATTCTTTACTTAAAAAAATATCTGGATTCAAATTTGATAAATTTTTATAATGTTTCCATTGATGATGGTAGTCTAGATGTTACTTGAGTATAAGCTTCATCTAACACGCACAAGCATCTTTCTTTTAAATTTTTAATTTTCTTAATAGAGTCAATACTATGATTGCAAATTTGTAAATTCACATTCTTTTATAAATTTAGCACCAAAGTCAACCTTATATATACTCTTCTTATTGCTGTTAAAATCATAAATTCTATGATTAAGGCTCATTTGAAACAAATTCATTTGTTTGTAAAGTTCACACGGATCAGCTTTTGTTTGCTGAAAGAGACTATTCATTCTTTCAAATTCCTGAACAACTGGTGTTATAAAGTGAAAAAATAAAAAATTTTCAATTTTCAAATTAGAAGGTGATAGTTCAGTACAAATAAAATAGTCTTTAAGCTCTTCCCAATTCATTAAAATATTAAACATCACTTTTCCGCGAGCAAGCCACCTTGTAAAGGAAGATTTTCCAAATGGTAAAGGGGCATATCGAGCTGTTTCAGATGCTGTAGCAGCATTTATTACATTAAACAAATCAATGTAATTTATCACGTCTTAATGAGCTATTACAAAACCAATGGGGTATATCTGACAATAAAAATGCAATATTTGAAGGCAATTTAGACACTGCGTGTTCAATGCACAATGCTAATGAATGACAGATGCACTTAAGCTGAACACAGTTAGGTGAAACATCTTTAATTCTTGTCCAAACAGAATTATTACATCCTGTCATGTTTGATGCACCATCTGTAGCAAATCCAATACAATTAGTAAGACTCTGACCACATTTTTTTATTTCTTGATCAAGCAAGTGAAATATACTTTCTCCTGTAGTCTCATGGACTAGAATTAATCCCATAAATTTTGTCACAATTTCATTTTTTAAAACACTAAAAAAACGAGCTAAAATGCACAAATGTTTGTTTGCTAAAATGTCAGTAGACTCATCTATTATTAAGGCATATTTTTTGTTTTTTTTAAAAGTCCTCAACAACATCATCTCTCAATGAAAGAGAAATAACATTTTTTATCAATCCCATACACTTAGTTCTATGGATTTTTACATGTTCAAGTAAACTTCCACGTCCATAAACAACAAAAACTTCATTTAAGTGGTCAACAGTACGGACAGCACAGTGGCAAGTCATAGTTAAAGCGATGCGTAGTTCAGCTTATTTTATATCTTCTGCTAAATTAATATCGGTAAAACTCTCAACTAATGGAGTACTTTGTTTGTGTTTTAAAGATTTGTTATGATTGACAAGATTGGTCATTTTGGGCTTAATAATGCAGTGACACCATTTACAATATGGTCTATGGGTACCATCTTCAACAATTTGAAGCCATAAAAACTTTTGCTCCCATAACTTTTTATATTGGCGATTAACATCATAAGAAGTCTTCCATTTTTCTGAAGACATACTGATAAACTTTTTTAGATCCTAAAAATGAATAAAATTAAACTGTTGTTCTTGATTTGTTTTTATTAAAATTTTTATTAGAAGTTAAAATATAACATTATTCAACTATATTATCATTTTTATACATTATATCTTTATACATTAATATATATTATACATATTATACATAATATACATTAATAACAATAAAATTGTAAAAGTTTAAAAATAGCATTATTTTACACTTAATAAAAATCTTAGTAAGCTAATTAATAAATAAAACAGAAATTTAATAAAAAAAACAAATATAGCTAAATTGCCGATTATTTTTTGCAGTGGTCAATCTGGCAACCCTGGATATTTTACAGAATACACTTTTTGGCAGTAAAGAATCTGTTGGTGAAATTAGAGCAAACAACAACACAACATTTCGCATACATTCACCACAATGCATTTCGAAATATATGTATAGTCGGAATGGCGAATTGGCTTTAAATAAAACTCTATTTTCTTAATAGGTAATAGAAGTTGTTTCAACGGCCGCATTTTCACAACAAATTTTGCAAAGCATTAAGGGTATTACGCCTTCGTTTGTGTACAATATTAATGTTCTTTTAAAATAAAGTGTTTCTAATTTTTTTAATTTTTAATTTAAAATATAGAAATAGATATTTTTAATCAATAAATAATAGTATAAATAACTAATTATAATTAGATAAAGTGATAAACACTTTACCCAATAATTAATCACTACTAAATAAATACTTTTTACAGGTCAAATATTTTAAATATTTTTCAGAATATAAATAATTATAAAAGTTTTTACATTTAAAAATGATATCGATGTTTCGATCAGAGGAAATGGCATTGTGCCAGCTTTTTCTTCAGTCAGAATCTGCTTATGCCTGTGTCAGCGAATTGGGAGAAAAGGTGAGCTTTAAATTATGTTTGTTGCTTACTGTAAAATATCTATAAATATTTTAATAGGTTGTATTATTTGTTCATAAGATATTGATCTATGGGAATTTGTTTATTTGTTCATAAGCTATTGATCTATGGGAAAGATGAATTCTTTCAAATAGATTAATATCATCAACATATAGTGTTATTCAAGTAAAATAAATTAGCATCATGCGACTTGAGTAATACTATCACTCATCACTTTTCTTAACAGATCTGCCAATTTGCATAATTGAGTTGGTTAACGCAAACTTAGTTAACAGTTTTGGAGCATATTTTGATTTCTGTAATCAAGCAAACTGGCTGTCACAATGTGCTAATACAACACTCAAAAATTTAGAGATTTTAGAAATAATGTTTCAAAATACACTGAGGAATTGTTACACTATTTCAAAATACACTATTAGATTGTTATTGGATTTTTTTTGTGGATGCAATAAATGAAAAGTTTTAAAGTCATTTCTAATTGATTGAATGGAATGTTTACTATTATAAAACTTTTAAAAAATCTCTCGCCACAAATCTCTCGACACAACATAAATAAAAAATTTAAATAAGAAAATTAAAACTTGATAAAGGTTACAAAGACTAGTTTAACAGTTCTACTAATATTTTAAGAATTAATTTAATATTAAATTAACAAAATTAAGTATGATTTAATTTAATTAAATTCCCTGCATGCTCTAAAAACTTTTATTCATCTAGTTTTTTTCCCCGCACTTCAATCCTTTGGAACTCTCTCCCATCTTCATGTTTTCCTGACTCATGCAACCTTCAACTCTTCAAGTCTTCTGTCAACCGTTTCCTTGCTCTATAACTCTGTTCTTTTTTTTTCCTAGTAACTCCCAACTTAATAGTGGTTGCTTGCAGCCTTGTTGGGAGTGAATGCAAATAAAAAAAAAAAAAAAATTCAATTTAATAATTAAAAAAATAAAAAATAAAAACATTTAACTGTTCCTTAATTAAGGTAACATTTTAAAATTATTAAATTCATATATTAAAACAGTAACACAAAAATAAGTAAAATGACCTTTTCTTTAAATTAAAAGATTTTAGCTTGATCAAATATATCATTTTTTATTAAATTGGCTTAAAAAAATAATCACTAATCTCAAAAAAGTGATCCATTAAAAAAAAATTACTAGTGTTATCAACTTCATAAATAGTGGGATATCATTTTATAAGCTTTATACAATATAATTTTAAAGTGTTCTTGCTTTGATAGTTGTAAAAATTAACAATTGACATTAAAAACTTATCAAAAGCTATGATTTTTTTTTTAAATATTTTTATAAAATACTTTAAAATTAATGCAAAGTTCATTAGGACTTCGTAATGACTACTCATTATGATTAGCCTTACCAGGAAAGGTGTGCAGTTTTTCGTCTTGTATGTCCACACATGAGTATTTTATTTTAGGTAACTTGGTCATGACCGTTTGCAAACAAAGAAAGCAAATTGACAAAATAGGAAATTAAAATAAATTAGAATAAAAAAAGTTCAGAGAAAAAAAATTAATAATTTAAATAATTTGTGTACTGTTTTTATTTTTGTTTCGTTAGAGTGGTTGTTATTTTCAGCAACAAAATTCAAATGATTTCTCTATTTTTTTTTTAAAGAGGAAAACAAAAATATAAATTGCTATCTGTTTGTAAAATATATTTGTATAGTTTTAATTTAACAAGTATATATTGTCTCTAGATGAAAATTTATGTCTTTGTAAAGGATGTGTATACTGTATAACTTTTTTATTATATAATTATATATAATTATATATATATATATATATATATATATATATATAATTATATATATATATATATATATATATATATATATATATATATATATATATATATATATGTATGTATATATATATATATATATATATATATATATATATATATATATATATATATATATATATATATATATATATATATATATATATATATATATATGTATATATATAATTTAAAATCTACGATGTATGATCGATCTATGAGTTTAAGATTTTAACTAATTACTTTGAGGCAGCAGTTATATAAAAGCTGAAACCTTTTCTTTTGGTAATTTATTCAAATGACTATAAAGAGATTATGAAAGTAAATAGCAATTTGAGAAAACTAATGTGAAAACTTTGATTTTAACATTTTTACTGTTTACGGAAAGATAAAATATGAGGTTTTTAGCCATTTATTGAATATTTTGATGCTGTAAACATGGTAGCTTTTTACTTTCAATTAAAAGAAAGTTTAATGTATTTTGATGGTAGTTTTATTTTCTTATATAATAATAAATTATATAATAAAGCTTTAATTCTACTTTTTAAAAATATATTATAGTAATAGTTGAAAATAAGCGAAATAAATAGAATGTTGAAGTTTAAAAATGCAAATTTTAGTTTTTAAGAAATGTAAATTTTTTAGATCTCTCCTTATTATGCTGAGATAAAGATATTTAAGACATGATTTTTTTATTTTAAATTTTATACTTGAGCTTATGAAATTGTTTTTGTTTACTTTCAAAAAATAATTAACTTAATTATTATCCAATTATTTTGTGTAATATCTTATGTGGTTCATATTGGAGAGTATGATAAGTTACTTTTAAGCAATACTTCTAAACAATGTCAATAATTGGTTAACGAAAAAATACCTTATCTATGTGTTAAGTTACATGATTTGTTTTAACCTTTTTAATTAGTTGAAACATTTTAAAAATACATTTAAACACGTAAATTTCAAATAAAATTAGGAAAAGGTTTATAAGTTTTTTTTGAGGTTATTGATATTTTTATTTATAATCTTTTTTAATTATTTCTCTTATCTTTAAAATTTAATATTTACTTTGTTTACCAAAGTTTTTAATAAAAAAGGTTTCTAGATAAGTATTTTTCAATCCATAAAAGTACAAAACTGGCTATATGTAAGATTACAAAAAAGATAAATGATAAAGTGATTTCATGTGGCATGCAAATAAAAAAATCAAAAGTGTACAATATGAAACGGCATTTGGAAAGATCTATCTGAAAATAAAATTGTTGAATCCAAAATGAGCCTTGGGGCCAAAAGAAGACTTTCATAATCATTTTTATCACATTCACTAGATTTAAAGATCAAAAAAACTAAACAGACTACTTTAGGTTTGTTTGCTATCACTAGTAGTAGAACAATAAATAAAGTTAGTGCTAAAACTTTTAAAATAGGAATTATTAAAATGACAGTGAATAACTTTTCGTCGAAAATATTTGCGAATTAAGAATTTCAGTTGGTTACAGGCAAATTATGTTAAACTCTCGGATTCACTACTAGACACGATTCTATATGCAATTTGATTAATGAGTTTGCTGAAAAAAAGTAATCTGAAATAAAGGAAATATTGTTACAAACATTTATTTATTTGAAAATAGATGCAGCCACTCAAGACCAAAAGAACTATTTAGGAATAAATATTCAATATTATGCAAGAAATAATCAAATTAAAACTATGGCACTGATAGATACACAAGGGGTAGCACAACTGCTGCTATCAAAAAAATGGTTACTCTATATAGATTTGGTATCAGCAAGAATCAAGTAATATGTGCAAGTGTAGACCAATATGATTAGAGCAATCACACTTTTTAACGAATATTCAAGCGATGAAAATTTTCGAGATAAGGCATTGCAGGATGAAGAACAAGAGAAGATTTTACAACAGGATACAAATGAGGAAGAAAGTGCAGCAGCTCGGAAAGAAAATCTAACGTTTGTCCTCCCAGAATAGTGTCCCAGAACCTTGTATTGAAGCAATACAAGGTTTTCCAATTTTAGATAATAAGACACTCTGCGATTCTACATTCCGAATAATTGAACAATTATTACTTTTGTGTCCACTGTGAGCAATTTGCTGCAGTTGATTAGATATTCCTTCTACGCCCTGAAATATAGGATAAGTTGAGTCATCTTAGCAATCTTTTAAAGAAGCTATATGATGTGACAGTTAAACTTTATGGAATCGACATCACTCCAGGAGAGTTCCTAAAGGAATGTTTGAAATTGAAATCTGACTTAGAGTAGAATCAAGGACTAATTGCAAACGACATTTCAAAATCAATCCAGAAACAAAAAGAAAAATCTTATGGTAATGATATACTTCTAGCTGCAGTTTATGTTGATGCTAGATATAGCATACTGTTGATATAAAATCCAGATAATACAAGCAAAACAAGGCTTAAAAACAGCAAAAAAAGTTTATAAAGGAGTTGCCAAAAATATAATAGAAAGTCAATTCATTTGATAATTCATAGAACTAGAAAAATAAACCTTACAGTACAATGTAGTATTAAAATTGAAGCGACCACAAATCACAATCGTCTAAAGAAATTTAGCGGTGATTAACTATTTTCAATTAAAGAAATTGTGACAACTTTTATATCTTATTTAAATCCAATTTAACATTTTCTTATATATCAAATATAAGTGTCACTTAAAATGCTTGAAACTCTTTAGCGCAGATGTTTATATAAAATCAAAGACAGGTGTTTAAAAACATACAAAAACTAATTTAAACTACATGTATTTATTTTAAAATGAAGCAAGTTAACTCAAGTAACATTTTAGAATACAGGGCTCAAAGTAGGGGTCTGCCCATATCCGAAAAACATGGCAAGGGGTCTACAACACATAAAAGTTTTGAAACCTCTAACATAGAATGGCTTTTCACAATCAGGTTTTCCTAATTCAAGCTCTGAAATATATTTTTCATCATTATTATTATCATTATTAATTAATTAACGTTTTTATTTAAAACATTTGAATTTCACATAAATAGTTATTCAAAGTTTTTCCTCAACAAAATTGGATTTTGATGTTTTGTACTATCTGCAAATAGCTTTAGTATAATTGATGAATTTTAAAGTCATCTCTTTGTAAATAGATAAATAATCCTGAAATTAATTTAATGGTAAAAAGGATTAATAAATTTATGTATAATACAAAAACAAATAATAGTAATAAAAGCCTCTATATGATTATACATTAATTCTTTTATGCAAAAGCTTTAAAAATACACATAAAACTTAAAATTTAATTTTGTTTGTTTTTGATATCTGTTTAATTCTCTTTTTAGTAGATTATTTCTAATAAAAGATTTTCATGTTAAACAAAATATTTAATAAAAGTTATTTTGTTTCATCTTTAATTTTCTTTACAAAACGATGCCACTTTACAATTGGGGTCGTTTTGTTAAGTCAACTATTGCCTATTTCAATTCCTCTCTGTTCAATTTTTCTTTTGTGGTATTTTTAAAAATGATTACTTATGATTGAAAACATGAAAAAATAAATAAAGTTTTATATTTAAATACTCAATAACTTTATTTGTAATAATTAAAAAAGGAGATTTGCTTAATTCTAGAAAAGATATTTAAGACAACGGCCAACAGATATTTTGGTGCAAAAAATATTAGAATAATTCGGATATTTGCATTTTTTTAGACAATTAGTAATTATTATTTTAACTTTGTTTTTCATTTATAATACTTGAATTAACTGGTTTTTATACAAATTAATGTAAGTTTTTGTTATTATCTTTTATTATTCTTTTGTAAATTTTTGTAATGTGATAAATTGACCCCTTCATTAAAAGTGTTTATAATTTTTAAAGAAACTGAGAATTTGTAGACTAAAAATATTTCCAGATATTGCAATTCACAATCAATTTGTGTTTTGTTAAAAATATTGTTATACAAGTTTTAAAAAATTTGAATTCATTATTGTTAAATATAAATATTTTTTTTTTAGGGTGTTGTTGAATTTAGAGATGTAAGTATTTTTTGTTTTTTCTTTCATTTTTCACAGTAATTAACAATTATGTGTGCTTATAGATAATAAAGTGACTGTAATAAAGAGAAGTGAATCTAAGTGTATAAATATGTTTTGATTGTGGTGGACTAATAGGCACCATGAATATATAACCTTAAAATAAATTATAAACTAGGATTTGGCGGTTTTCAAAACTGGTTTTAAAAAACTGGTTTTTCAAATAAATTTTACACATTGAAAAACCGGTTTTTAAATTACAAAAATGGGTTTTCTATTTTTTAACATTTTTTCTATTTTTTAACATATTTTTGTTATGCAAGAACATTTCGTTAAGTAAGCTTAGTAAGCTGTTTTCTTTGTTTTTTTTAACATGCAGCTGACTTTTTGCCTGTGGTAGATTTCGATTTCATTATTTGCAAAATGTTTCATAATAATTATGCAATAGAAACAGTTGCTTGTTTAAAAATATATGGATGTGAAACATAAAGTTTTAGGCTAACTAAATCTTCTCGAATAGTTTGGATTTAATATTTACTTATATATATTTATAAAATGTATTTAAATCTAAGAATATATTATGTTAATGTACTTATAAATGTAATAGTTTGATACGTTTATGTACTAAATTAAGAATTAGCAACTCATTTACTGAATTCACAAAATCCTGAAAACATTTCTGGCCCAGCAAAAAAATCTAGTATGTTTCTTTTAGCTTCAAAAATTGACATTATTGAATTGTCTGAAAATTTATTGTCAATTGTTATAAAATTCTATTGTGAACAACAAGATCAAGAGGAAATCGAAGATGCTAATTTGTTCATCAGAGTAAAGCTTTTTAAAAAGAATTTTAAAAAAATCATGGAAATTTCAATTACAAAGTTTCTTGACTTAGTAATTGAATTTTCCATTAACCCAAAGACACTGAAAGCAGAGTTTTTATTATTTGAGTCAACGCATAAATGAACCAAAAACTTAGATTTGTTATTTGATGCACTTAAAACTATAAACCCTTTTTAAAATCCTATTTCCTAGGAAAAATTACGATAAGTGAAATAAATATAATATATGAATTAAGTATTTATCGTTATTTAATTTTATTAAGGAAAAATTCGAAAAGCCAGGTAAAACCAGTTTTTTGGGGAATTTGAAAACCAGTTTTTAAAAAAGTCGGTTTTTTTCCAAACCCTATTATAAACTAATATACAGATTATTATAAACTAATATACAGATCTGAATAAAATTATTATAGGTATAAAAAATTTTCTTTTAATAATGGTATAGATGTAGAGCTCTTACTTGTCTCTGAAATAACATGCAGGCCTCGGCAGCAATGGCGGGCTGTAGCCCATGCCTGTCTCCACACAGTTTAGACGGGCGAAATATAGCCAGGCTTGGTCGGGAAGCGGGAGCGATCGCTCTCGAATACTGACCATGGAAATTATATTTAGTTGCAAAAAACTTACCAGGTTTTTTAGTCGTTTTGAGAGCGTTTAAGTTTGTGTACGAAACAAAAGATTTTTATTTTATGGACATACATGGAAACATAAAAAAACTTGAATGGTCTCTAAACATCTTGGTGCGGAAGAATAAAAAGATTATTAGCGAACTCTAAAAACCCGCCAAAATAACGAACAAACTAATTCTATTAATTCAAAAAATGCTGACTAAGGGAAATAAAGGTCTAGAGTATTCTGTTGAAATGATTTAGTAATTGTATTATTTACGAAGTAACTTGCGGATGAACAATCATGGCGCCTGAGGTCGCGACAGAACACAAATATATATAGCAAGTTATTAGATATAAAGAAAAGTCTCTAGATATTGGTTTCAGTTACCATTCTTAAAATTTTTTATCTATCAAGTTAATTTAATTTCTATAGTTTTTGATTTCTATCTAGTTAATTTCTATAGTTATTCAAAGATTTAATTATTTCATTTGTTTATCTTACTAAGAAGAATTGTTTCAAATATGTTAAACTTTTCAAACTACGTGAAACATAAAATAGGTATTAAAAAAATTAACTTTTTTATTTATAAAATAATTTAGCTTAGATACAACTAAAACTTGCAAACTTTGATAAATAAAGAGTGTTTGTTTCCTTTTTAAACAATCGTAAGATGTTACTTTATATAAATAACGTCGCTTAATTTTATAAAAAATTATAAAGAAGCGATGTTTCGAAAATATTTGTTCTAACCATAATTTATTTTGCTTTATGTTTTTTCGCATTGAAAGATATTTTATTTTCCTAATTTTTTTTTTTTTTTTTTTTTTTTTGTAACTGTTTCTCATCGGTCCAATTAATCTTTTGGGCATTTTTTTTTGCTTTTTGAAATATTCTCAAAACGACTAAAAAATCTGGCCAGCTTTTTGCAACTAAATATTATTTCTGTGGTCAGCAATCGAGAGCGATTGCTCCCGCTTCCCGACCAAGCCTGTAAAGCCCGTCTCAAACATAAATTTTGTGTAAAAAAAAAAGATGAATATTTTGATGTTTTTTTATTCAGTTACTCTCTTAAAACTCTTATTAAACTTCTCTCATGACATAATTTTAATATGGGTAGCAAACTCCAAGTTATAGTTATTTATATTAAAATATAAAAATTTAATGGTTATTATATAATAAAATGATATAAAAAATAATATAACTAAATCTTACATTTTTTAAATAACGATAACTGTTTGATATAATACCCAACAGTTACGGTATTATAATTCACAAATTATTTAATGACATTTTCATTCAAAAAGAAAAAGGGAGATGAATGAACTTTAAAATATATTTTTTTTAAGTTTGAAAAAGCTTGCACAAGATTATCGAGGTGGGCGGCCTTCCTAGCCCGCCAAGTCTATTTAAGACGGGCTTTTCTTAGCCCATATGGTTTTTACTCCTGCCGAGGCCTGACATGCTTATCTTATTTAACTGTGAGTCATTAAGACTGCCAGGTTAAACTTTTGCATATCTCTGATTTTTTCATATATAAAGCAGCTGCGTGGTGAAACAAGTTGGTGCAGTACTATGAGAGACGTGGTATATATAACTTTCTTAATATTATAGTTTTAAAAATAATGAATTTTTTTTATTTGATAGCTCAATCCTGATGTCAATGCTTTTCAACGCAAGTTTGTAAATGAAGTTAGACGCTGTGATGAAATGGAGAGAAAATTGCGTGAGTATTAGTATTACAGGAAACTCTTTAGTATATTGACACAATACCATATTAGAGTAGATTGAATTCAATAACATATTAGAGTAGATTGACCTAATTACCAAGCCGAATCTTGTTGTAGATTTTTCACTACTTTCCATACAAACTGGTACTCTGAAACTTTTAGCATTTGTCTAGTCCTGATGAACATTTGTTAAAATTGTTTCCAGGGCAAATGACCAGAGGGTCCATAGGACTAGGCAGGCCTTGCGATGAATAAGAACTGCGCGACGCATAAGCACGATGTGATTTTTGATGTCATTAAATTCTTTTTATTTGCTTTTCATATTTATCGACATTAACTGCACCAATTTACTTAATTACCGCAAAACTACTTTAAATTGTTTTTGTAGAAATGTTATTATTTAAAAATGTTTTGGAATGTTTCGTTTTTTAAAATTTTTTAAAAAAGATTATAAAATAGGTTTAATATTTGATTTTTTTTTTTCCTTAAATATGTAATTTAAATAATTATTTTTTCTTTTTAAAAAGTCAGCGAGTAATAAACTGGAAATTTTAATATTGTACGATTAAAAACTGTGCAATAGCTAATATTTTTACAAGCGATTTTATATAATATTTATTTATTTGTTTTTATTTATTTTCATAAAGCGGTTGATAAGCACAATCACTCGTATTAATAAAAAACGAACGTTTTGAATAAATTTTTAATGTTAACAAGGAATTTATTTCAAGTAATATAAAATAAAATGTTAGAATAAAAATCTTATAGGTATAAAAAAAATATTTCAGCGAAAAAATTATTCTTAAAAATTATTATTAAAAATTATTCTTAAAAATCATTATCGAAAAACTATTGACGTTTTATTTTTCAGCAGCTGTTCTTGAGCACGCTTCGTTGAGTTTTGGTAACTTTTAACATAAAAGCGATCGTTGTTATTTAAGTAATTTTTTTGAGTTACTTTTTACAAAAATTTTAATAACTGTACTTTTTTATTGAATCAAGTAGAATACGTTTTAATATTAATCCTTTTTTTTTTTTTATTTGTGCTCACCAATTTTTATAATGTTTCCTCGAAATTACTCTTAAATACTTTAAATACGTCTAACAGTTAATAAATATTTTTAAATCTTTTTTTTTAAAACCTAACAAACCCCCGTAAAATAATTATTTAAGTTTAAAATCTAAAACTAAAAGAAAGTATTTTTGTTCAATTTTATCGAAAACTTTGCTATTGCTGAATAATTTTATTAAAATGTTAGCTTAAAAGATTTAAACTTTTTTTTTAATCTGAATTTTTTCTACTTGTAAATAATGAGCATATTTAATTTTTTTTTAATTCAAACTTTTATTTCAACTGCGTGCGGTTTTTAAAATACTTTATTAAATGTTAAAATAATCGTAAATTACTTCATTAAAATTCCGCTCAAAAATATCTTTAAATATACTCAAACAAAAAATTTTTTGCTCGACGCAAATAGCCCTAGCTACACGCAAAATCGCTCTTGGACGACGTAAAATTCACATCGCCCGACGCTTTATCGCAAGGCCTGACTAGGGCGCTGGGGGTCATGCACCACTTTTCTCAAAAAAAATTTTTTGTTTTTTTTATATTTTTAATAAAGTAAAGATAACTTTCAAAATATTGTCTTCAAAAAATTTTTTGTTTAAATTTGTTCTGTTAGGTTTTTGATCATTCTGTATTCAATGATCTTTCTTAAAATGTTTTAAAAAAGTAAATATGTATTATAAGAATTTTTTTTTGCATATATATGGATTAAAAACAGTCATCCATCTAAATTTTAAATTTTAAAAATTGATAAATACAGACACTTGAAAATTTTTTTTACATTTCTGATCATTTTATTGTACTCGATTTAACATAATTTTACATCATATAATTTAAAACTTTTTGAATTGAAAAGAAAACAGATAAAACTATATCGATCTGTCAGACATCAATTAAAGAAGACAAGTTTATGCTATCAAAGGCAATAAACAAGTTAACAACTCATTCCTACATAGCAACATATCAAGCAAGATACCTAAGGCAACAAAAAGAAAATTTGGCAAAAGACTGCTTATTGTCTTGGGTGATTTTGCAGAAAACTGCACGTTTATGATTCAAGATCAAATCCAAAGTTACCAGTTGTGTCAAAGTAAATGCATGTTACTCGCCGTTTCCCTCAATTCTTAAACAAAAATGAACAGCTTGTTGTTTTGCTTCATGTCAGAAGATAATTAGCAGATATTATTTTTGTGTATAAAGTTCAGAAACAAAAGTTAATTATCTAAAAGAAAATCATTTTATTTAAGATTCTTTATCTTTTAGATGGTTGTGCTGCACAGTATAAAGACCACAAAAATCTTTACAATATCTGTCTCTATAAAGATGATTTTGACATTGATGCAGAGTGGAAATTTTTGCTGCAAGTCATGATAAGTCACCATGTGATGGTATTGGTGGAACTGTGAAACAATTAACTGCAAATGCAAGTCTACAAAGCCCCATAAATGATGAGATACAGTATTGCGCAAATTAATTGCATCAAGCTAAAAATAAATGTAGAACTTAGTTTATTACGGTTTTGGTAATAACAGTTCATATCTAATACTTAATATGTCCTCCCCGTGATGCAATTACACTTAGCACATGCTGTGGCATTGAATACACCAGAGTTTGACACAAGTTCTTCAATTCTTCATCGTGAAACCAGATTTCCATGATAGCCTCTATCAGCTTCGGTTTACTGGTACAGTCGTGAGTTCTAAGTCTCTTCTTAACTATACCCCATAAATTCTCAATGGGATTAATATCAGGTGAATTGCCTGGCCATTTTAGAGTAACAATTCTGCTGTCTTTAAGGAATTCGATGACTTTCTTTGATGTGTGACACGGTGCTAGATCCTGCTGAAACACCCCATTACCGTCAGGGAACTGCTTCGTCATCTCTGGTATCAGTTTTCTTGTCAGAGCATCGATATAGCCATCGGAATTCATCATGCTAGTCACAGGCTGAAGTGCTCCAAGCCCAGCTACTGTGAAACACCCCCAAAACATTTTCTTATCTGGATGTTTAACATGCTGCTCAATGTGACCTGTGACCTTCACGTATTCGTTTCCCGATTGATCTGCGAACAAACTGCGACCGCTGTCCTTGGACCTCAAAATGAGACTCGTCTGAGAATATCACCTGCAAATAAAGCAAATATGTAAATTAAGTGATTATAAAGCTTGATATTGGGTTAGAAATATTTTTACCATAGTACACTGTAGGATTACTAATATAATACTCAAAAATACCTGCAGAAGGACAAACGAAGAAAAAGACTTACTACAAAGATTATTTGAAACAATTCATATCATACCTTTGTCCAGTCATCTTTGGTCCATTGCTTGTATTCCTTGGCCCATTTCAATCTTCTTTTCTTCACAGCTGTTGTCAAAAGTTGCTTCTTGGTGGGCTTTCTAGCTGGCCGCCCAACACAAAGCAGTCTCCGCCTAACAGTACTTGAACAGACACTGACACAATGACTTTCAAGATCATTCCTGAGCTGGACACTTGTCTTCTTTGGGTTCTTCTTACTTTGCTGTAGTAGAAAACGATCATCCCAGGCTGTAGTCTTTCTCTTTCGACCACACCTGCCCAGTCGCTTTGGAGAAAAATCACCAGTTTCTCTGAACAGCTTGAACACTCGGCTGACAGTAGACTGGTTGACATGGCATAATTCTGCAATCTCTCTTTGACTTTTTCCAGAATGTTGAATCAAAGTTACGATTTTAGAACGTTTTCTAGGTGTTACATCCATATTTGTTTAATTATGCTAAAGAAATAAAATAAGAATTAAATAAGAGCTCATATGTAGGTTTTTTGTTATTTCTTCAGCTTGATGCAATTAATTTGCACAATACTGTATTGTAATAAAATGCTTGATTGTTGTGCAAAAAATGTTTAAGGGTTCATTTTTTTCAAAATTAAAAAAGAAAAACTGACAGACTTGTGCACTACTTTGAAAAAACGTTTTCAGATAACTAGAACAATTCCTGGAATTAAGAGCTATCATTAATTTAACCCAGAATCTTTAGTTTTAGATACTATTACTTTTAAACGAACAAGTCAAGATTTTAACATAACAGGCATGTTTTCTTTTTCTGATATTTTAAGTATTTAAACTAATCAGCAAATTAACATCAATATATTAAAAATTTATATTAATGCATTGAAATTTGGTGAATTTGTTCTGTGTAAATATGATACATTTGAATGGGTTGTTATGAGCAGGATGTTATGGCGTCATTTATGCACCAGCTTGGTCCTTTTAACTAACATTTATGACCTAGAGCAGATGAGTCTTGGGTTGCAATTACCAACATAATTTGTACCATTGATGCACCTGTAACAACAAAGAACGTATGTATACTTGTTGATGCACCCAAGCAAATCTTAATACAATCCTAAGACTTTAATTCAACTTCTAATTATATAAAACAGAACAAGTGCAAGCCAAAAAATAATTTTTAAAAACAATATTTTCAAAGTTCTTTACTTTATTAAAAATAAAAATCAAAAAATTTTATTTTGAGAAAATAATTGGGGCATGGTCCTAGTGCCCTAGGTCATTGCCCTCTGGTCGTCTACCCTGGAAACAATTTTAACATGGGTTCATCAAGACTACACAATTGTTGAAAGTTTCAGAGCTCCAGTTTGTCTGGAAGGTTGTAAAAAATATATCACAAGGTCCCACTGGAAAAAAATTAGGCACTTGCCTCAGTTTGCCACTTGCCTAATATTTTGGGGCCCTGAAAACAATTTTAACATGCAGATTCATTGGCACTACTGAAATGCCACAATTTTCAGAGCTTCAGCTAGCCTAGAAGGTAGTGAAAAATTAATTTCAATATTCCGCTTCAAAACTATTAGACATTATCCATAAATGCAGGCTTGGTCGGGAAGCGGTAGGGATCGCTCTTGATTGCTGACCACAGAAATAATATTTAGTTGCGAAAAGCTGGCCAGATTTTTTAGTTGTTTTGAAAACATTTCAAAAAGCAAAAAAAATGCGCATAAGATTATTTGGACCAATGAGAGACAATTACAAAAAAAAAAAAAAATTAGGAAAATAAAATAACTTTTAACGTGAAAAAACTTAAAGCAAAATAAATTACGTTTAGAAAAAATATTTTTGAAACATCCTTTTATAATTTTTTAATAAAATTAAGGGACGTTTTTTATAAAAAATAACATCTTACGATTGTTTTAAAAAGAGACAAATGTTCTTTATTTAACAAAGAGTGTAGTATAATTTTTATTTATATACTCGTGTCTTATTTCCAGTGCTAGATTAAGGAGGGTTGGGTTTAGATGGAGCTATAGCCCAGGGCCGCGCAGTGTTAGAAGACTTTTTTTGTTTAGTCATTTTTACGCTATGAACATACAAAGGCATTCAAAATAAAAGTAGCCCCTGGCCCCGGGGGCTATTTTTATTTTGGGAATTAATTTTGGGAATTATTTTTTAAACTACAATACATTATTAATATAAGTATATTATTTTGTGGATGGTGCTAACCAAAGAGTTTAAAGAAGTTGAATTAAAATAATAAATGATTTTAGTATGTTTTTATGTTTTAAAAAGTTTTTTCAGCCTCTAAATACTATTTTAATGTTTTCATAGGTTTTATGCAGAAAGAAATTGATAAAGCAGGAATTCCTGTTATTGATATCCAAGAAAATCCTGACACTCCTCATCCAAAAGAAATGATTGATATGGAGGTTTGTTTTTCATTTGATACTGAGATACAGATGAGATTTTATAGTTTAAATTTTATTACACTAACAAATTAAAGTTTTGTATACAATATATACACAAATTCTGCAATTGTTGAATGTGCAGTTATGACCAAAAAGATTCAAACACTTATAGTTATTAAAGTATCCTACTGATAAATGCAAACTATGCATGCTGGTAAAAATCAAAAAATTAAGTGCATTGGGTGGGGGGTTAAAGTTATGTCATTGATTTAAAACATAAACAAAAATTTTACGCGTGTAACTACAAATTTTTGCTAAAAGCAACAAAATTTGTCAAGGTTGAAGACGTTTTAGTTAGAAGTACAGAAAGTAATTTTTTTGATTTTCATGTGCATAGAGGGTTGAAATTTCAATAATTTGGAGGGCATAACAAAAATGGAACGTTTTTCATATAAAACAAGTAAAAACAAGAATAATAATGCTAAAAAAACTAAAACTATTTTTTTTATCTATGCCCTCAAAAAATCTGATAAAATAGACATTCGTTTATAAGTATGTAAAATTTCAATCATCAAGCATGTAGCTTAAAATAACAAATCTTGATTGGCCCAAGACAGGTTTTCCGTAAAATACGCAAAAAATAGAAAAGTGATCCAAAATCATTTAAAATATTTAAACAATGTTTATTTTTATTTCGTTCCATGTAAATATTTAATGAAGAAAATAGTTCTTTTATATTTTTTTAATTCCAAGATTAAAGCGTTTATAGAAAAAAAATACTATTAATTTAAAGTTAGTGAATTTTTATACTTTTTATGCGGAAATTTTTTTAAATTTTTTTTAAACGCAAAAATTCTTGTGACGTCAAGCTCGCTTTTATATTGAGTGAAACAGCCGTGTTTAGTGGCTATCATGGCCTTGAAGAGGTGAATTAAAATTAAAAGAATTTAAAAATTTCAAATCTTTTTTCAAAAAAAGATAAAAATTCTTAGCATAATATAATACTAAAGATAAAAATATAACTTATATAAAAATAAAACTTGAAAAACTAAAATGCTAAAATAATTTAGATCATGCATTTAGATGCGTTTGGAATAATAGACTTTGAATCTTTTATCTCTAATATTTTTATATTAATATACACTTTATTATAGAAACCTTCTAAATTAGAGTAACAAGTTCTAACCATTGTTTAATAATTATGCAAGTTTAATTTAAATATGTTTTTTTTAATTGATTTAAAAATAGTAAGTTTCCATATAATAACACGCTAGTAAATAATTATGCATTTAAAAAAATGATAATTAAACTCTTTTTAAAAGTGTTTCATGCTTTGTATAGACACATTTTTTAAACATAAATTTATTTATAGAAAATATATTTATTATATATATATTTATAAATTTATTATAGAAAATAATACATAATAAAGAAAAAATAATTAAAAGAGTTAACAAAAAAAGGTTCTTTAAAACTCTTTGTAGTAATATAAAAGAAAAAATAATTAAATCATTTTCATTTCGATGAAGAGATAAAATTCTTTTTCTTTTGTCAGAAACGTAGTCTTTGTAAAGTTATAAAAAATGCTATTAGAAGCAATTTTTTTACTTTATTTAAAAGTATTTCAATAATATAAAAACATTAGTAAAGAACAAATTTAATTATTATAATGGCTTTCAAAAACATTTGTAATTTTTTTCTACAAATTTTTTTTTGAGTGAATTAATTTTTGTTATTATTATCTGTTCAATAAAGATACTATTCTTGTCTAAAAATACTTTAAACAAAAATAATTATTTGTATTTTGTTACTTTACTTAAAGGGACCACCAAGTCTCGAGACATGTTGTGTTCATATTATAGAGAATGTTTAAAAAAAAACGTCTGAGCAAATTTTTTTTGATTAAACTTATTAATAAATGTATACCAAGAAAAACAAATCTTGTTGTTTTAGTCAAAGCTTGACTTCTCCATTTTCTGCTGTATTTGGAGTCTTTAAAATAAATGCGATTTTCCAGGCGCATTATACAGACTTGATAAATTATTCAAGTGCGTTTAATTCATAGAAGTTTTAGTACATGATGTCATTCGAAACATTCTAGAAATTCTTTAAAATTTTTACTATTAAATTTTACTAAAATAACTAAGTTAGTTATTTTATTTTCTAAAATTTTAACGTGGAAAAATATTTAATGTTTTTTTGTAGCTATCAGAGCCGTGGCTACATGGATTATGGTGATGGTTGACCTAGGGACCCCTATGGCGCCAAATCGGGTTATATAATATCTCCGATGATTAACGAGTGTGTTCTTTACATTTTAATGCAAGTTGTTTGACAAATCTAACAGTCAATTAAACCTAGCACTAGGAAGAGATATAAAAAATAAGAATATACTAATAAAATATATAATTTGTAAATTAACTTTCAAAATTTTGACAATTTAAAAAATATATATTATAAAACATTTATTTTTGTAAACAAATGATATTAGTTTAAATATTTACGGCTTTGCAGATGTGGCTCCGAGAATGAGCCATAATATTAAAGTAATAGTTCATTTGATAATATATTCTTAAAACAATTTATGGTAGATATCTCAAAACACAACAAATCGTGAATAATACAATTGCTAAAACATTTCAACAGAGTACTCTAGAACTTTATTTTGCTTAGTCAGCGTATTTTTTAAACCAAAAGAATTAGTTTGTTTGTAAATTTAGCGGGTTTTTAGTGTTCGCGAATATTTTTATTCTTCCGCAAAATGTTTAAAGAACTTTCAAGTTAATTATATTTCCATGTATGTCCGTAAAATAAAAATTAATATATATTAATATTTTTATTTTTAAGCCCACTGCCATAATATATATTGGATGTTATAATAATGGAAATATAAATAATGAAATAAGATCACCTCAATACCAAAAAATACATTTTTGAAAATCAGAGAAAAAATGCGTAATAATTTTTTAAAATATTTACAAAGTAAATTAATAAAAATGCATTATTATTTAGGTTAAAAATTATTTTATCTAATTTTTTGAAAGAAAAACTTATAACAAACGAAATCAAAATACATGTGGTATTTATATATATATATATATATATATATATATATATATATATATATATATATATATATATATATATATATATATATATGTATGTATATATATATATGTATATATATATATATGTATATATATAAATATATATATATATATACGTATATATATATATATATATATATATATATATATATATATATATATATATATATATATATATATATATATATATATATATATATATGTATATATATAAATATATATATATATATATATTTTTATAAAAAGTTTTTTATAGACTTGTAAATTTGCATTATTATTTTTTTAAGGCTCAGTTTGAACAACTAGAAAATGAGATGAAAGACTCAAACTCAAACCATGACGCTCTCATAAGAAGTTCATTAGAGCTTACTGAGTTAAAACATATTCTTAGAAAGACTCATGTTTTTTTTGATGAGGTAAGTTTTTAAAATATTAGATTAATTTTTTAATTTTACGCTTTGCAGAATTATTTGACATTACATTTGAATGCACTTTTTACTGATTTACTGTTATTTGTTAAACTAAGGTTGGTGCAAGTACTCATAATATTGTCTCAGAATTGAGGTTTTTCCATTATTTTAGCTCCATTACTTCAATATTTCTGTGTCTATATAAATTTATTTTTAAAGAATAATTCTTCATCAAGTTGTTAACAACATTCTAAACATTTTAAATGATTCATTTTTAAAATAAGAACATCAAATTGTATAACAATATACATACAAAGTTTCCAATTTTAATAAAAAAATATTTTATAGAATATTATAAAATAATAATAACTATATTATTAATAATAACAATAATAATAATAATAACAATATTAATAATGAAAATAATAGTAATAATAATGATAATAACAACAACAATAAAAATAATAATAGTAGTAGTTGTAGTTGTAGTAGTAATAATAATAATATTGGCCTGAAGAAGGGCATGTCATGGTGTTAAGATATTAATTTAAACCTTTTAAGGGGTCCCCAATTGCACAAAAAGTTGTGTTTATTTATAACTTATTATGAACTTATTTTCTAAGGTTTATTTGTTAAATAAACCTTAGAAAATAAGTTTAGAGTTAAACTTACATAAACAAATGATTACATTAAGTGTGACATCAATAAAACGTATTGATGAAAAGAAAATTCTTTTCTTTTATTCTGTAAAAAAAATTATAATAACAAAAAAAGTTAAAAAAAAAAAGTATGATTAAATAGAAGTATTTTGAAAAAGCAAAACGCTTTTACAAAATACTTCTATTGATTGTTTAATAAATAAACAAATTTTATTTAAATTATTGAAAAGAAAAATTTTTTTTTTTAGTTGTTTAAACATTTTTTTCATTAAGTTGCAAAAAAAAAATTTGTTAAAAAAAAAAATTGTCTTTTTAAAATTGTAATTTTTAACCATTTCATTTTAATCATTTCATTCTTTGATTAAAAGTCAAGTTTAAAAAAACAATTTTTAAACAATTCTTTGTAAAAGTAGAACCAAAAAAAAAGCAATCAAATCTTGGGAAGATTTAATTTAACTTATTTATAATTTAAAGTAACTTGAAAATAATATTCTTTTAATAACAGGTTTTCAGAAAGACTTGTATGATAAATTTAAATGTTTGAAACTATTTTAAAAATAGTTTCAAATGTTTAAATTCATTATAAAAAATATGTACCTACTAAAAAAAATGAAATATAAAATTTAATCTACACATAATGCGTTTATTTTAAGTTATAATTTTTGACTTTATTTAAACTTTTTAAAAGTTTTGATTTTATTTAAATTTTTTTAAAGTTTAAGTTTTTATTTATTGTTGATCTTTTTAAAAGTTTTTATTTTACTCCTTTGCATAAAATAAAAACTTTAAAAAAGATCAACAATTAAAAGTTATTTGTAACGCAACGATTTTTTAAAATTGCATTTAAATAGTTAAAACATCTAAAAAGCCGTTGTCAAGATGTATAGAATAAAAAAAAAAGTGTTGTCAGTTACAGCATGCAAGTTCAAGTCTATTTAAAAAACATGCAACAGGCCTTCTCGTAAGAGGCGTGCGATCGCACGCCTTATATGACCACACATATAGTTCTTTGTTTTAACAACTTGACCACGGCTCATTGCAAGTTTTGATAATTAGCGCATTTAAAAATTGCGCTAAAAAAAACAAAGCAAATTAAAATAAACAATCCATAAACTGAAAAGAGAATAAAATCCTTAAAATAATATATATATCAAAAATTAACCTAAAAAGTAAAATATTTTAAGAATGATAAAATAAATAAAGGAAAAACCAGAAAATAAATCAAAACACCTATTAATTAATTTGAACTTAATTGGAAGCAAAAGTGAAAAAATCACAGCTCTAATAATCTTTATCATTCTTTCCCATGAATAAATAGGCTATTACAAAGGCGGATCCATAGTGAGGGAAAGGGTAATGAAATTTAATAAAATTTTATGGAGCAAATTTTAAATTTCATTAAAAAGTTAATAGGATACAGGGTGCATCAAATCGACAAATGTGCGCGCATTTCTCTAAGACAGACAGAAAAACAAACATCACGTTTCTTTAATTTTGCTTATGCAAACGTTGGCGTTTAAGATTTTTCAAAACAAACGCGTTACTTTAGCAATTTTTTCAAAATAATTTTGCGATTAATAGTTTTTTATTTATCACAAAAAATACATATTTAAAATGAAAAAAAATTAATTGCAGAGACTTTTTTAAAACATAATTACTTTTTTCAATTGCGTCACTTTTAAGTAAAATAAAAAAAAGTAATTATGTTTTAGGATGGTTTTTGCATGCGCTCACAATTTTAGTTAAAATAGATGCTTTTGCAAAAACTTCAAAAGAAACCGTCCTTAAACAATTTGATTGCTTTCTTTTATTGAAGAAAGCGATCGTAATGTTTAAGCTTGGTTTCTTTTCTGCTTTTAGCAATTATATTAAAAGTTTAAAGCAAATGATTTCATTACTAATAAAATTGTGCATGCTTTTTTTTTAATTTTCTTATTTTCCATAAACTGAAATAATGTTTGTTTGCATATTAAAAACACTTTTAAAAGTTTTTTTTATTGAGCGTTTATCATTAATTTGCGCGCGCTTCGCAAATGTGTAAAAAAAGCGTCCGATCTTTATTAAAAATTATAGTTCCATGATAAAAAGGTTTGTAATTATTTTTTGATAGCTTCTGTATTCATTTAGCCTTAAACTCTAATCTGAATAATTTTTTAAACGATTGCTTTTATTAAGTTGCATTAAAGTACTCAGGAAATTTTGTGGCAGTTTAATTGTAATTATGGAATCAACTAAATTAAAAATTGTATTTACATTTGCTTTGTTTCCTTTAAGCGCATTTTTTAAACGCGCTAATTATCGAAACTTGCAAAGAGCCGTGGTCAAGTTGTTAAAATAAAGAACTATGTCATATAAAGCATGGTCATATAAAGCGTCCGATCGCACGCCTCTTAAGAGAAGGCCTGTGCAATATTAAATTGCAATTTTATTAAAAAACAAAACAAAATTCTACGATAAAATATTAAAAATAAGTAACGTTAAATAAACTTAATAACATGACAAAGATTTCGATTGCATAACTTGGTTCCGTAAAACCGTTAAAATTATATTTAAAAAATTTGATCGGACACTGTTCGGCCCAAACAATTTTTAATCGGACATTTTGTCCGGGACTTTATAAAAAATTAAATTGAGCCTTGATTTTTTTTTTCAAATATTTAGATAAATGATTTGTGTTGGTAAGTTTAATATACTAAAAGTTTATTTTCTATTGTTTATTTATAAAATAAACATTTAATATTTAATAAATTTAAAATGTTTTTTCTGCTGCTAGAAAGTTAAGAAATTTTAAATTTCTTGTAAAAAATTTAAAAACTAAACAATTACTTATTAAATTTTAATAATAACTTGATTAGTTGTTATCGAGAAACTTTGATTTGTTTTGTGGTGCAACTATGATCACATTTATTTGCTCTTTTAGGTAAAAACCTTTCTTATTTTATTATAGATTAACTATATGATTTTAAAAGATCAAACCTTAACATGATCCTAAAATAAATTACACATAAAGTATACTTTAGGATGATCTTTAAATAGATTGCACATAAAGTATACTTTAATTTGATCTTAAAATAGATTACACATAAAGTATTTTTTAATTTGATATTAACATTGATTGCAATTAAAATAACTTGATCTTGAAATAAATAGCAAATAGATTGCACATAAATTATACTTTAACTTGATCTTTAAATAGATTGCAAATAGATTGCACATAAAGTGTACCTTAACTTGATCTTTAAATAAATTACATTTTAAATTTACTTAAACTTGGTGTTAAGATAAATTACATGTTAAATTAATACTATAATTAATACTTAGGGGTCGTCCATAAATTACGCCATGCTATAAGGGGGGGGGGGTTGGTGGTTTTGTGACGACTCATTTAAAACTCGCTTCTTAAGTACTACGATTTTGTGACAAGGGAGGGGGGGTTTGAAAATGGTCAAAAATTGCGTGACGTAATTTATGGACAACCCCTTATTATAGATCATGCTAAAAATAGATTTAAAATTAGGTATGAGAAGTCCCAAAAAGTTTTGATCTTAAAAGTTTAAAAATTGTGATCTTATAAGTTTAAAAGTTACTAATTGTAGTGTTCTTTGATGTCCAGGAGAATCCAAAAATGTTGATAGAATTATGGACTACTTTAAGAAAACCAAACAGGACATATAACTATCAATTTTGGGTCTGAGTGCTTTTGTAAAATGGCAGCAACGTACTTGGTGGTTAAAGTAATAGGTTCGAAGACTTTACTTACCAACATGTTTTTTTTTTCTTAATGTTTTTTATTAGTCCCTAAACATCTTTTTTAAATTCTGTATACCAGAGATCCTGAAGAATTAGTGATTCAAAGACAAAGTCCTTTTTGGGACTTCTTATCACTGCTTAAAATTGATCCCACTTGAAAGCAACATGCATCTTCATAGACTTACATTAAAAGCTTTTTTTAAATTAATGACAAAGCAAAAACATAAACAATTAACTAATACTAATACTTTAAATATTAAATCAACAGACAGTAATACTAATTATTAATTGTTAAACCATAAGCACATCATATAATCTCCACTTCAGGCTGAACATGTTATGCAGGAGCACATTGGTGACACATCACAACCCACTGCCGAGGAAATGTCATTGCTTGCTGATATAGATTATATCTTGTCATCTCAAACAGGTCGCCTTGGGTAAGTCAGCCAGCTTTGCGCATTAAATCAATCATAATGTTTGGCTGTTTGCTTAACCCAGTGGCAAACATAAAAGTTTTATATTCTCTTGTTACTGATATGAATTTTCTATGAATTGTGTTATGTAAACAGCCAAATATTGTTTTTTTTTATTGTTTTTTTTTCCTTTTCTTTTTTTTAAACAAATAACTTAGGAAAGTTCTGCAGAAACAATATCAAGAATAGAAACTGATGCTACTGCTGGTGGACAGCTGGGGTAAGTAAGACAAAAGGAAAAATTATTATCTAGTTTTACATTTTTGAGTTATAATTAATAATAACTTTTTATTAAGTATTTGTGTAATGCATTGCCAAACTGCGCACAGTGTCAAAATGTGCACATCAAAATGTCAAAACATATGTTTTGACATTAATTTGTCGAAATATCTCGAAAGTTAAAGAAGCATAAAATACAGCATTTTAATTTTTACACTTGAACATAATTGAGACTTTAAAATAACAATATTGCTAACAAAATATAAATTCTATTGATATTATTGAATTATACACATAATAATTTAGAATGTTTTTTTTAATTTTTTGCTAAAAGTATGTTTTAAAATGTGTTTTTTTTTTTTTTTAATTTTAATAGTGCGAAACTAAGTTAAAAATAATTCAGTACGATAGTTTATCTATTTCTAGCTTTTTATATAATTTTTTAGTTAGCCAATTACAATAATGAAATCTAATTAGCTAAGAAATTAAGTTGCAGAGAAGTTTCCCTTCAAAATAATACTGTTAAAAAAATAACTTTTTAAACATGAAGTTAGGAGTTAACAGCAAGCAAAAGTGCAAGTAAACTGTTAAAATTTTTTAAAAATAAAATGTAAATTGTATGAGTCAGGAAAGAATAAAATCATGAAGTCTGCACAAAAGATGTTTTAAATGGATTGGATATATAGTTTTCACAAGAGATTAGTAATCAAATGTAATCTTAGAAGAGTTTAGTAAAGTGTTTATCAATATAGTAATAGACAACTGAGCATTAAACAACAAATCAATGATTATTTTGATAGTTATTAGCATTAAACAACTGTGTTTTGTTTGGAACAAAGTTTTCCAAGAAGTTGAAATCAAAATTTATTGCAGCTCTAATTTGTGATATAGTAGAGTTCTTAATGCTGCATTATAAGTTCACAAGATCAGCATTCCAACACTCATCGAATCTTCAAAATATCCATCAACATCTTACTAACTTCATTACTCATTAATAAAAGTTTCTCAAAAATAAATTCTTATTGTTAACAGTAACTTTTTTAAAAATCTTCTCTCATCTTCTCAATAGCTAGTTATAATAGCTTTATATACGCTAGTATATCTTTCAAGACAAGTATTATCTGATAAAGATTATTTGAGTCTGCATTACCAAATAAATCTAAATCGGATTTAAATTTTAATAGTTTCAAATTGCACATTCTTTATCAGAAAGATAAAATATTTCAATGAGTTTTTTTTTTTGAGAAAAAGCCTATTTTTTTTTCCAAATGGAGCTTTGTTTTTTGAAAAATGTAATATTAAAAGTTGACAGTTTGATGTGCTTGTTAAATATTCCAATGAGGTTTTATAGTCATAAACTAAGCCTAACATTCCATTTATCATACATAAGTCTGATCTTTGATATCTCTCCCAATAATAAGGCAACTAGATGCAAAGAGCTTTTCTTCTAATTCATATCTTGAATCTAATGGCCGAATTCTTCCTGTCGTTTTAGGAAAACATCCATTGTTAGACATCCTAACTCTTCTGTTGCTAAATTTATTTCTCAATTCTCTGTTGTAGTTATATATATTTCTATCATAATTTTGCAAAAATGTTCTCTTGAACTCTTTCCAATACACAACGATTTTCTACTGAAAAACAGCATCTTTGGTTCTAATTTTTAAAAACTCTGTAGATTACTTTTGCCCTTTTCAGCTATTTGACCAATCCATTTTTTTTACTATTATTATCAAGATATTTAATTCTTTAATTAACTGATAACTTGTTAACCATTATGACAGAATGGTTTGACTATTGCTTTTGACATATATCAAGTATAAGCTGCAACAGCAAGAGCCAATTGTGTGTTAGGCTCTCAAAAAAACTTTTTAAAGCAAAAGCTTTTTTTTGTGGAAAGTCTTGTACACCATACCTGGTCTCCATCTCTACAACAAGATATATGTTTGTACATACTTTATCCAGATGCACCATTAAAGTCTCATTTCCGACTTGAATTAATGTTTTACCAAAAAGTTCAACCAAGTTTTTAACTTCAGATTGCACTTGATCTAACTGCTGTAATTGATAACTTGTAAAATTTAGCAGATCTTGCAAAGGTTCCTTGCATTTGATTCTGAACTGTTATATTCTTAGGGTAGCATAGTTGTTTGGCTTGTAGTACTTTGTGATAGCTTGGATAAAGTACAGCATTATGATTCTTGACATTGTTTCTAAGCTTTTGATAAGCATTTCTGGTTAAATCTGTTGAGATCATTAATGCAAGAGAATCCTCAGGAGTCTATGATGATTTAAAATTATGCTTTGAATCGCGTTTTAAGAACTCGGTAATACTTGTTGCACTTGATGGTTCTTTATTTAAATGCATTAGGATGTGTTAAATAAAATTAAGTTTTTTGCATTGCTTGAGCAGAAGCCAATGTAGCTAATAAGAGCTTTTCAATAGAAATAGTTTTTGATAAATTATATTAGAGGTGTACCGGATATTTTTGCTGAATATGCCGGATATTTTTGCTGGATATGCCGGATATTTTTGCTGGATATTGAACTTTTTTTAAGTTCTATAAGTGTTTATAAAGTAAAAACAAGTTTTTCCATTCTACATTAAATAGTGTTCAAGATTTAAAAAAACAAAATCAATAAAAAACTGGTATAACACAGGTATATGCATTAATAATGTATAAAGAAAAATCATTTTTTATAGCCAAATTTTTGTTTTTTTTTAGTTACGTTTCTCTATACTTCGTCAGCACATATACCATGTCATACAGTTTGTCACTAATTTTTTTAAGTAATCTTGAATACTATTTGTTGTAGACTGGCAAAAAAAAAATTTTCTTCATAAACATTTATAGAACCTTAGAAAAGTTCACTATCCGGCATATCTGGCAAAAATATCCGGCATATCTGGCAAAAATATCCGGTACACCTCTAAATTATATGAAGCTTGCCTTACGATGTGCTTTCTCATCCCAGCATTTGTACTTTGGATTTGCATTAATAATGTATAAAGGATATGCATTAATAATGTATAAAGAAAAATCATTTTTTATAGCCAAATTTTTGTTTTTTTTTAGTTACGTTTCTCTATACTTAGTCAGCACATATACCATGCCATACAGTTTGTCACTAATTTTTTTAAGTAATCTTGAATACTATTTGTTGTAGACTGGCAAAAAAAAAATTTTCTTCGTAAACATTTATAGAACCTTAGAAAAGTTCACTATCCGGCATATCTGGCAAAAATATCCGGCATATCTGGCAAAAATATCCGGTACACCTCTAAATTATATGAAGCTTGCCTTACGATGTGCTTTCTCATCCCAGCATTTGTACTTTGGATTTTTATAAAAGAAATTTTATAGTAATAGTATTTTATAAATACTATTTATAAACAAAAAATAAGTTGTTTATTAATAAACAAACTTCTTGTTTTTTTGTTTGAGTCATCGAGAGAAAATATAAAATACTGATAGATGAAGAAGAATGGATAGCACTGTTTCTTGCAGCAACCGATTTGTTGATTGAAAAACCCTTAAGTCAAATGAACTTGCACTTTTTAAAACGGGATTTGCAGCATTTGTATTTGTTCATTTTAAATTTGCATTGGTTAAAGAAAGTAAAAAAATGCATTTTCTAAATTTTTCTTTTATATTATTATCATAACGAGACTTGTTTTTCTGTTAGTAAAGTTCTGCATTTTTCAGCAATAACATTTTTTGGTAAATTTATGTCATTTTTGATATGTTCAAATATTTCTAAGCAAGTCAATTTTACTAACATTTTTAAAAACCAAATAACATAAAAAAAGTTCAGTTTATTAAAGTAAAATGTGGTAGTGGTGTAGTGGTAGAACGCTCACTTCATAAGCAAGAGTTTCCGAGTTTGATTCCCACCACATCCCTGGTAGTACCGCGCTCAGTTTCTCCGTGCAGTGGCCTTGTTCGTCAAGGTTCATGTTTTGGAAGTTGAGAAAGGGTTATAATCACATGAAGAATCACAAGAGAAATAGAGTTGAGAAAGGGTTATAATCACATATAGCCTCCTCATCTGTAGTGTCCTTCTCGGCCTTGCGGAGTTAGAAAAAAAAAAAGTCATAGAAAATCATTATTTATTTTTTTTTGTAGTGGTTTTAGAGGAAGTGTGCGAAACAAATGCGTATATCTAAATAAAATTAAAAATTCTTTCTATTGAAGTAAAAGTAATTCAAAAACCACTAAATGTGTCAACAGTTCTCGACTTTAAAATAAATAAAAATTATGAAAAAATATCCTTTTACCAAAACAACAAAATTTTTAACAAAAAAAGTTAAGTTAACCAAACAAAGTGACTTAATTATTGGTATTTTTAAATTTTTTGCATTTATATACTTTATAAATAAATTATATACTTTAAGAATATTAGAGCATAAAAAAGGTTGCATGTTAGTAGCTAAAGTTAATCATAATGCGTGAGTATATCCAGCTGAATTTTTAAATGAGATACCTCATTAAAAATTATCATAAATTGTGTTAGACAAGCTTGAACAGGATGTTTTTTGAACAAACAGCGAGTTCAAAGTTGCAAAAAGTTGAATTTTTTAACATTTTTTAGAGTAATTTTTAAAAGTTTTTTTGACTTTAATGAAGTGAAACTTTTTTGAGGTAGAATTTTAACATCTTAAAAATAATGACAAAAAAAGAAAAAAAATTGAGTTAAAAACTTTTGTACCTTTTTAATGAAAATTTATTTAAAAAATGACATCTTTATAATCCATGTAGTTGTCCTGTTAATAAAAAAATAACAAACCTATATATTTTTAGATAATATAAGCAGTATAATTCATTAAAAAAAAAATTCTTTTTATAAAGTTTTGAAAAATTTTGAATTATGGTAACATTTTTAAAGTTTTGCACCACTGTGCATTGTAATTATTTTTTATAAATTTTTATTCAGATTTGTTGCTGGTGTGATAACGCGAGATAGAATAGTGCCATTTGAGCGTTTACTTTGGAGAGCTTGCCGTGGTAATGTGTTTTTTAAGCAAGCGGAGATAGAAAATAGGCTTTATGATCCTAGTGCTGGTGATTTGGTCTACAAATGTGTATTCATTGTATTTTTTCAAGGAGAGCAGTTAAAGATACGTGTTAAGAAAATCTGTGAAGGGTAATTTTTAAAAAAATTTAAACTTGACAATTTAACAATAAATTTGTTGTATGAGTTTTTGTATCAGCATGCATAATTGTTATATATTATTATGTAAGCTGGATCATGCTTGTCTATTTTTTATTGTATGAACATACATTATTGTTATTTATTATTATGTAAGCTGTATAATGCTTGTCTATTTTTTTCATCTTGAACAATTTTTTTTTAAATTTAATCTTCAATAAAAAATGTTTTGAGATTCAAAAGATATGAATATTTAAAGGGATTCCTAAGTGCTAGCTCTTTAGAGCAGCACTTAGGGATCCCTTTGGAAGAACTATAAAGGGATCCCTAAGTGCTATAAAGATATGATCTCATATAAAAGAGCATTAAAAAAAAAAAATGTTTGATGTATATTATTTTTTCTAAAACATAATAATGAACACACACTAACAAATTTAATTTTCAAAAAAATGCGTCTTGTCCAAAGTTTATTGACTCTATTGCCTCAAAAAACTAACGTTTGTACGTCAAAATAAACAAAGTAGACAAAATGTCATTATTGCAAACTTATTAGTTGGTAATTAAATTTAAAATTAAAGTTGTTGTTTTTTCAACTAACACAATTACTTACAAGAATAAGTTTTGCAGCATTTTGTGAAAATATATTTGTATATTAAATTTTTTTTTATAATTTTAATTTATATATTTGTGTTATAAGGGCAATTCCACGGCCAAAAATGAATAGAAGTCAAATTTTAAACTCTTTTTAGTCAGTTTTTAACAAATGAATATTGATTTAGACACATGAAAGTTTATTTAAAATATTTCCTTAGTACAAAAATAAATTTATTTCAGTCATTTTTATGGTTTCAAAAGTGACGGTTACTCTCATTTTTGCTTGATAAAAAAAATAATTATTGTAAAATGTTTTACTTAATTTAACATTTATGTTAATTTTGCTATATTTTTTGGGTTCAAATTAATAAGGTTGAATAGACATTTTATTAGAAATTAAACTAAGACATGGCTTTTTTTCAATTTTTCTATTTCAAGTTTTCCAATAAAAGATGAAACAAAAAAATTTGGTTAAATAAATCGAAATATACTTCACGTTTAAAATAAGGCTTAAAAACGTTCAAGTAAAAAAATTGCTGGTTTTTATTAGCATTTTTATACTGTTTGAAAAAAAAAAAACTAATAAAAAAAAATTAACTAATAATATATTAATTAATAATTATTAGAATTAATAATAATAACAATTAATTCTTTTTTATTAGTTTTTTTTTTCAAACAGTATAAAAATGCAAATAAAAGTCAGTATTATTTTTGCTCTAACGTTTTTAAGCATTATTTCAAACATGAAGTTTTGATAAACAAAGATAAAAACCAACTTTTCAATTTTTTGCTTTAACGACCTAGTAAAAATTTTCCACGCAGAGATTTAAAGTAATTTAAATTCAAAAATGTTTAACGTTGAAAGAAAATCTCCGCGAAAAAGCAAATCTATCTATTCAGAATAATAAATTTTGTGTGACATTCTTTATGATAAAAACATTACTTTTAAGGATTGCTAAAAAAAATGCTAAGCTAGAAAAAAAGTAATTAAACAACCAAAAAAAAAAAAAAAAACAAATCGCGAAAAGATTTTTTTAAAGAAAAAACTAATCACAAAAGTGTGAAAAGCAATCGTGATTGCTTTTCACACTTTTGTAATACGAGTCCTGTAAGACTTTTTTATATGTTCTAAACTATTAAAAACTATTACTTAATAACTTTTTTTTAATGACGTCTTTCAACCGAAAGATATTATACTGTTTTTGCAAAACTAATTAAAAAAACTTGATTAAAACTTAACTATTTAATCACGACTTTTTTTTACTTGAAAATCGAAGTAGATATTTTAAAGTTGTTGTGACGTACTAACGTGATTTTTAACGACTAACAATCAAGTTTCAATGGTGAAAAAATAAAATCAAAATGGAGTTGTTTTTCAGTGATTTCGGCAATTGCTTTTTGTTAGCATGCATTTATTATTACAATTTAGTGAAAAAGAAAAAAAACTTACATATTTTTTTTTTATGCTCTTTCATATGAGATCATATGTTAGGAGCACTTAGGGATCCCTTTAAGTTCTCTTAACATGGTTTACACTTTACATTAAAATAATATGTAGTTCATGATATAATATAATTTAGTCTGCAATTTTATATGACATAGTATAATATTATCTGCAATATTAAATGGTATAAATTATATATAATAAATATAATTAAATGGTATACAATATTATCTGCAATATTAATATATTACAAGATGAGTATACTCATCAAATGAAACTCTCCTTTCATACGGACGACCAGTACACTCGCTTGAGTTTAAATGCTAATAATCTTTTTATTCTAAACATTTTATTTTCTAAAATTGGTTTTAAAATTTGAATTAAACATTTATCAGTTTTAATGAGTAAGATATCGTAAATATTCATACTTGAAATAAGTTATAAAATAATAAAATAGATAAAATTAAAAAAAAAATCTAAAAAAAACCCTTATCTCGTGCAAACTTTAAAGAAAAAAATTTTTTTTTTGAAGAAGTTTATAATTTACACTGTAATAACTTACTATTATTCAATTTTAACAGTAATAAAGCAATTTTTATGTTATTATATTATGTTTTTATTTCCAAGTTTTTCATTGGTTTTCTTCTGAAATTTTCTGATTTTCTTTCTCTGTTAAGGTTATTTTTTTTTGTTCAATTTTTAATGATAAAAAAAAATTGATGTAGATTATTCTTTTGCTAAAAAACTTTTTGTATAATCTTAGATGAATCGATGTCTAAAGATTTTAAAGGCGTTAACTTTTAAAGCATTCATTTATAACATATTTTTAAATTTAGTTTTCATGCAACTTTGTATCCTTGTCCAGAAACACCTGGTGAACGTAGAGAAATGGCAATAGGTGTAATGACAAGAATTGAAGATTTGGATGCTGTAAGCTGAAAGTTAAATATTTTTAGTTTTAGTTTAAATATTAAAGTTCTTTGATTATTCCAATTTTAGTTTTTTGAACTGTGTACTTGATGCATTGCAATGCACACAGAGAAAACAAATTTAGTATTATTTTGTTTTTTTGTCAATTTTTAATTAATAAATTTAAAATATATTTTTAAATTTATTAAGGTAATCAATGAAACTCAAGAACATCGTAGTCGTTTGCTTCAAACAGTAGCAAAAAACATAAAAACTTGGTTGATAAAGGTTATTTTTAAAATTTGAAGAAAAAAAAATGGAGATCTGAATTTATATATTTTTAATATATATTATATATTTTTAAATATAAATATTATGTATTTATATATATATATACAATATATATATATATATATATATATATATATATATATATATATATATATATATATATATATATATATATATATATATATATATATATATATATATATATATATATATATATATATTACACACATACATATAGATTTTAAATATTTAAAAAAAAATTGCAGGTTAAAAAGATTAAAGCTGTTTATCACACGATGAATATGTTTAATGTAGATGTTACTCACAAATGTTTAATTGCAGAATGTTGGATACCGGTAGCAGATCTAAATGATGTTCAAGCATCTTTAAAAAGAGGTACTGAGAAAAGTGGAGCATCTGTTCCATCAATTGTTAATCGAATGCCCACCAAAAAGGTTCCTCCTACATTTAATCGCACAAATAAGTTTACACATGGTTTCCAAGCCATAGTTGATGCATATGGTGTTGCAGACTATCAAGAAGTAAATCCTGCTCTTTATACAATCATTACTTTTCCCTTTTTGTTTTCCGTCATGTTTGGTGATTTGGGACATGGAGCAATTATGGCTTTGTTTGGATTTTTCTTGATTTATTATGAAAAAAAGTTGGCTATTTGGAAAGCTGGTGGAGAGGTAAATTAATATTGATCAGATCAGTTTTAGTTTATCTTCATTGATAATCAATATAATCATTAGATTATTTATTGAATATTTATAAATGTTTAGTTTAAGCGTTTAAACCAAAAATGTTATTTTATTGTGTAATTACTGTAATTTTGTGTGTTATTATTTTGATTTGTTTAATATTTTAAATGCTAAATTTTTTTGTGACTTTAACTTTTTTAATGCCACATTTTGTTATTGTAACTTGTTTAATTTTTTTAGCATCCTATAGTATTGTTGCTATTTGTTAAATTATCTTGCTCTAGTAATAAACCAATTTCTGTGGTTGAATTTTTTGCATTTTCTTTTTTTAAATTACATTTTTTTTTTAATTATATCATATTTCTTGTTTATTTTTTTTTTAATTAGTGTTTTTTTGCCAAAACTTACTACAACACTAAATACTTCATTTGTTCTGTGTGTTAAAATCAGTTTAAAAATGATCATCCCTCAATTTTTTTTGCCAAAATTACACGTTAAAACCATTCATAATCACCTGAATTATACAAATGTACTTCAATTTAAATCATACTATTTTTAAAGCAGAAACATGTGCATCCTTGGCTTTTTTAAAGTCATTGGATTTAAAAAAGCTATTGAGTTTTTTGTTAGCAAAAATGAGTAAAATCTAATATTTAAATAAATAAAAAATAATCATAGATTGCAAAAAGCTTGCCTAGTAATTCTAAATACTTACTAATAAGTTTAAATACTCGCTAATACCTAAACAATATAAATATTTGATTCTGTTGCTTAGGTTTAATTGGAATAACAATATCAATGTCTTATAAGTTTTAAGCTATCAGGAAATAAACTTACAGAACATGTACTTATTTTACGAAAAGATGTTGTTGGTAATGTGATGGAGTAAATGTGAAAAAAGTTTGAAGAAAATTATCTATAAATCAACTGTTATATTTTGCCCATGGTGTGCAACTGGTTGTTATTAAAGTACTTTATTAAAAGCAGATCATAGAAAGAGAAACAAATAAGCCATTTGACAAACAAGAAATAAAAAACATTTTTTAAAGAGTAACTTGCTTATTTTCAAAAAATGTTGTCATAACCTTTATAGAAAAAATGCTTACAGATGCTAACAATGTTTAAAATCAAAAAAATAGCATTTTTTTTTTTTTCTTTGAATAGCATAAATACAGATATAAGTGGAATTCTTTGGTATCTGCACAGTAGTAGAACCAGTGTTCAGTTCAAATCTGTAATAAAGCTAATAATAGTTTTTTCTTCAATAAAAAGCTTAATACTTAAATTACTCGACTACATGTTTGAAATCTAACTGCACCATTAGCAGCATGTTTCACCTTTTAAAATTGTTTCTGGTTCTTTTCCATATTTGTAAGAAAAAACAAAAAAAATCAGAAAAACTTTTTAAAAAAAATCACGTTTGCCCAGAATAACAGTTCTTTCCTAGATCTTTTTTTTATTTCTGAAATTGTAACTTCTTTTCGTACTGATATCAAATTATCTGCATTTTTATATTCCACATATCTAAACCACCTTAATTTTCCTCGAAGCATCCTATAACACTCTCAATATCTGTTTACAATTATTACTTATTTTTTACAGTTACACCACACATCAATCTAATCATCAACATATATTGCCCATGTTTCAGTGTCATACATTATAGAAAACATGTGATATGATGTATGGCATTAAAACATCATGAGCATTATAAAAAAAATCATTGTAAAATGTTATTCTAACCATGAATTTATTTGCATAATCGGAATTAAATTAGCGTGAAAATGGAGCTAACGTGTTCAAATTGTTGTTGGTCAGATTATATACTTTATAAAATATTTATATTTTAAGAAAATAACGAATGAACTTTTGCAGTTTTCATGTAACGTAAGTTAACAAAAACATGAAATAGTTTTGTTAGTTATAAAATTTAGTTAGAAATCTTGAGTTTTTTAATAATATATTGTCAGCTGAGAACCAAAATGTCCACATTTTGTGTATATAATTATTATATAATTTTTGTGTATATATAATTATTATTATATAATTACAGTGTATATATAATTATTATTATATAATTACAGTGTGTATATATATATATATATATATATATATATATATATATATATATATATATATATATATATATATATATATATATATATATATATATATATATATATATATATATATATATATAAACTCATTAGCTTTGTTTTACAGCTGCTGATACATTTATAATATCTTTTATAGTTTAAGCACATTAAGTTCAAAGCACATTAATTATTGCTTTTTTTTTACTTTAATAGTTATACTTTTTTAATTGTGTACAACACTACTTAGCACCTTATTCAAATAAATTGATAATCAATTAAAACTAATAAAGCATACTGATAATTCAAAAATTTAAATTATCCTGGAAATTTTGTACAGTATATGGCTTTTTTTAAAGGGTCTTCTGACTATATGTCTTTTTTTGACAGATAAACAACCAATGTAAGACCAAATTACTATACAAAATTTTTTAAGGTTGTTTATTTCTTTGAGCGTTCTAACATAAAATTGCCATGATATTGCAGTGCATGTGATGAATAAAGTTGCCCAGCGCGATATTTCGTGCTTGTTATACTAAAATACATTATCAACAAGCTCAATTATAGGTGCTCGACATCAAGTTTTGGTAAGCGATATTCAGAGTTGGAAATTAAATGCCATGGGGCCATCCATAAATTATGTACACAAGTATGGGGAGGGGTCACTCAAAAACATACTAGTGTGTACATCGAAAAGGGTGGGAGATTTGAACTTTTTTTATGTGAAGTCAGGGAAATCAAAAAAAATTTTGTTTTGGTTTTTTAGTTAATAACTTTGTCTATCTACTGGAAAAAATATTTTACTGAAGCTATGTTAAATAAAAACAATGAAATATCTCCATTTACTAAAAGATGACTACATAAATTTGTTTCCTTTATGGAGTTGAATTGACATGCTTGAAATGAATGTGTAAAAAATCAAAAAAAATCTAAAAGCAAAAGAATCTTAAGTTTTATTTTTTTAATTTAACTTTTCTTTTCTCATTGGGACAAAACAATTTGAAAATAGTAAACATTCCATTCTTTCTGTTGGCAGTAATGACTTCATAACTTTTCATTCATTGTTTCTACAAAATAGAAAACTGCTTTCTAATTTAAACTGAATGCTCCATTTAAATATATCAAGTGAATAATTTTTTATATACTTGATTATATACTTAATAAATATATAATGACTTATACTTATATAATATATATTAGTGTAAGTATATATATACTTATATAAATATAATATATAAATAACTTATACTGACGTATATTTTGAGAAATGCGTTTATGAAACTAGTGACATAACATTTTTTTTTTGTGAGCACGCTTCCGAAAGTTTCCATTCAAAGTTATATAAAAAAGTTTATTTGCTATAGGGATTGTTTATTGAAACTTTTTTTAATTTTAAGTTGCGTTTAGTTTTAACTTTTTTAATAAATAGACTTTAATATAAGCTTCACTGATTCGAAGATACTAGTGAAAAATATTTAGTTTTATATTAAATTATATTTGCCGAAAAAATCTACGATATTTCAACGTTTTGATGTTTTTGAATTTTGAATATAATAGTCATTAATTAATAAAATGTGATCGAACCTGTATAAAATCAAAGTTTCTAGTGAAGTTTTAGTTTGATGAATTTTTTACACTTGATATTTTTAAATATTACACTAGATATTTAATATTTTAACATTTAAGTTTGGAGTTTTCATTGAAGTGTTGCAAGTTTTGATATTTTATTCCATGGAATTTTATGCAATTTAAAGTAAAAGTTTTTTTGCCAAATGGACCCTAAAAAAATATGAGTTAGCGAATGGTTTGACAACCAGGTTACAATTAAGTAGATAATATGATAAAGTTCAACTATTATTAAAAAAAAAAAAAAAACATGCTGGATTTAGCTTTTAAATAGAAGAAATAAATACTTTTTAATTTGAACTTAAACTGCATAAATAAAAATTGAATTTAGTCATGCATAAATCATGCACGACATCCCGCTTTATCGCAAGGCCTAATATTGTATACTAAAATGTTTACTTTATAAAATTTACAATGTTAATTTTCTCATATAAAAGGTTTAATGAGTGTAATACAATTGTTAGGAATGACAAACATTCTCATACAGATTTATTACTAGCTTATAGCTAATTTAGTTTTTAGTAAAAATTTAACTTCGAATTGGTCATTATAAGCACAAATACATGTAAATTGTTGTTTGATTTTTTTTACCCAAAAAATGCAAAAAACGCAATATCAAGCCTTCTCAGGAGCCTTTTATCATCTTGAATAAAATTTTTTTTGGTAACTTGACCACGGTTTTTTTGCATATATCGATAATATAATAATATTGCATATATCGATAATATAATAATATTGCATATAATAATATTGCATATATTTTTTGCATATATCGATAATATAAATTATATTGAAAAAACTAAACTGATTTAAAAGATAAACAAAACAAGAGGAAAATAACAAAAAAGTGAAAATTAAAAATAAACCATAAACTGTAAAGAAAAATGAACTTAACGCATGATAAAATAAATAAAGAATAAACCAGAGAAAAGAAAAATATAAAACTAATACATTTTTAAATTTAAAAGCGTTTTAAAATACTTTAAAGGTAATAATTTTTCCTATTATTAACCATCATGTTGATGTGGTAATTTTAGTTTAAGTCTACATTTGTTTATTCAGTGTAATTTTGAAACGTGATAACTTAAAACATGCAACCCATGAACCCATGGCGAGATGTGCAATACATACATGCATACATACGTACATACATACATACATACATGTTATTCTTGCGTATTTAGATTGGTACTTTTTTAATATATTTTGCATACTTAAAATTTAAAAATAATGATTGGATTCCAAACAGTTTTTTAAGAAAAGAGGAAAAATAAAAAGACAAAGAATAATTAAAAAAAAAAGGTTATGTTTTGCCATAATAAAATTGCTTCATATCTGGACTATACCTGCCCAAGTCCAAACCCTCTGTTGATGTATGTATACACAACACCCTATTTCAGCCTATAGTCATCATTAGCGTTTAATGCTAAGCTAAGTACACAAAGATGTTTGCGGTGTGTTAACTTTAAGTGTGCAAAATATATTAGGATAATGCTTATCTAAATATGCAACAATATGTATGTATGTATGTATGTATGTATGTATGTATGTATGTATGTATGTATGTATGTATGTATGTATGTATGTATGTATGTATGTATGTATGTATGTATGTATGTGTGTATGTATGTATGTATGTATTTATATATGCATGTATGAATAGATTTATGTATGGTTCTATATTTATATGGATATACTATTTACTTTTAATTTTTTTGTTTTTTATAGATGTTTGATACAGTTTTCCATGGTCGCTACATTATTTTTTTAATGGGATTGTTTTCAATATACTCTGGTTTAATATACAATGATATCTTTTCAAAGTCTTTGAATATTTTTGGTAGTGGATGGGTGGATCTAAAATCAAACAAATCTGACTACACGTAAAAATAATTTAAAACATTTTTATTAAATCCTTAGTTAAATTGCTTATTATAATGTGCATATTATAATGTTCTTATAATTATGATTTGATATATTTAATTTAAACACAAGTTTTCATTATAAAATTAAATAATGTTACCTATCAAAATATGGAGTTATTTTGATAATTCTATATCAAAATAGATTTGTATTTTTGATAAAGACTTATGTCTTAGAGTATTTAAAAGAAAGGAGATGTGTTTTTTGTTATATTAATAATTACAAAAAAAGTCTGATATGCTTTTGTAGTACTTAAATTTTCATTATTGTTATTATTTTTGTTATTGTTATTATTTTTGTTATTGTTATTATATTATTATTATTATTATTATTATTATTATTGTTATTATTATTATTAGAAAATTTAATGAGCAATAATTATTACAGAACATTAATCAATATAATTATTTTTTACTTTTGAGACTAAAATTATTCTTTCTCACCATTACGATGTACTGCATCATTTTTTTTATAAACATGTTTGCGCATATGTTGTACAAGATTTTTATCAACTTTTCTTAAACAAAAACATCTTTTTTTTTGCAGTTGATCTTCATTTTCAGCCTCCCAATTGTTTTTATACACATACCCTATATTGTTTGACCAGAAATCTTCTCAAGGTTGTAATTCTGGAACACAAGCCAGATTATCAAATTTTGTATCATAAAAGAGATTTTTTTTATCCAGTTCATTGGTCACTGTTCTGGCATTGTGCGGAGAGGCCAAGTCAGGCCAAATACATAATTGTCATGACTATGATGTTTTTTAATAAAATGTATCAATCTTTTGGTACCAAATATTTAAGAAATCTTTCAGACAACACTGTTGTAAAAATATAAAAAAGTGCTTGATGTCATGACTTCAAAAAACCCTTTGGTAGAATGATAAAACTACTATTGGTAGTCAGAGGGATATTAATCACGAAATCTGGTTAAAGTATTTGCAAGAGATAATTCAATTTCCTGTTCCCATTTCCAGCTGGTTCTCCACCATGACATGGCTACAGAAAATGTAAAGCTAGCCATTTAAGAGAATATGTCCTAATCTTGGTGAGAGATTGTAGATGATTTATAACTCTAAGCAACTGATGGGGCTCCATTAGTGAAAGGAAATTGAGTACAATAAATTTATCAGAGACATTGATGATATGACCTCACTTGGCTTGGTTGTTTGCACCAGCCACACCGAATGCCTGATATTCTCTTCTGATTGATAAAAAAGTTCTTGAAGATCTGCAGTTGGCTAGAACATTTGATAAATGCATAGATAGGGCATTTTGATAAATGCATAGATGAGGCATTTACATTCGTAAGAATTCACCCATTTGACTGGAAACTGGGTTTGAATCTACAAACTACTCTTATATGTGCTTTCGTTTAGCACCACTTCACTCTATTGCCTTTCTTATTGATCTATATTGCTCTATAGCCCTTCATCTCAAGACTGCACTCTTCTTGATGTTATTTCTGATCATATTGACCTAAACTTCTCTCTTTATCCATAAGCCAACATTGTTGTTGTCAGTGACTTTTATGCTCATCACACTAAATGGCTTGGCTCTAGTGTCAGTGACTCTAGATGGCTTGGCTCTAGTGTCAGTAGACATTAAAATTGCTTGGTTCTAGTGTCATTAGACATTAAAGCCCACAATTTTTGCCTTTCTTAATCCCTAACTCAAATAGTCAACTTTCCAAATTGCTTTCCAGACAACCCCAATCATATACCTTCTCTACTCGACTTATGTCTTGTTTCTGATCCTAGTCAGTGCTCAGTTTTTCCAAATTCACCCTTAGGTGCTTCTGATCACGGTTTGATCTCTCTAAAATTATTATCTCATTCTCCTTTATAATCTGATTCCCCCTATTATCGTACATCTTACAACACTCTTAAATCTGGCCCCTTTCTGTAATTTTCTTTGTGAAGGCCTTTGGGTAGAAATCTTTCATCTTCCTGTTGACTAATGTGCTTCTTACATAACTGTGGATTCAGGCTGGCATGGAATCCTTTATTCCCTCTTGACGGTTCCAGGTTAAGCCTCACTCTTCTCCATGGTTTTCCTCACATTGTGCTGCTGCAATTGCTAATTGAAACCGATACTTCCATATCTATCAGCAAAATAATTATCCAGAAAACAGACATCTGTTTATTACTGCTAGAAACCATTGTAAAAAGTTTTTGTCTTACGTCAAAGCCCACTATTCTCAGGTCATGAAATCTTGTATTTCATCACAAAAATTAGGCTCTCGTGACTTCTGGAGAATCTTTAATAGTATCAATAATAAGAGCAAGTCTGTAATTCCACCTTTTTTGTATGGTTTAGACTTTGTCGCCTCACCTAAAGACAAAGCTGAATTGTTTGCAAAGAACTTTTCATCCATATCATTTCTTGATTCCACTAGTTGCGTTCAACCTGATATAGCTGTCAAACAGGTTGATCCATTGCTTAACATTCGTATCATTCCAACTTCTGTATCTAAAGTGATTTCCTGTTTAGAGCAACATACCTGTTATAGTCTTTTTTTTTTTTTTTTTTTTTTTTAATGTATTTAGGTGCTCCCAGAAGTCCTTGCGGTCTTATCATAGAGCACCGCGGGAGAGCATTTAACAGGAAGTTCATGCCTCCTTCTAAACCAATGTCGCTTGTTGGGCTAGAGCTGGCGTCAAACCTGGGAGTCTTGCAGAAGTGTTCTCCAGAGCTTTTGTCTATCCTTTCAAAACTATTCAACAAGTGCTTATCAAAGTCTTCTTTTCCAGCCTGCTGGAAATCAGCATCTGTTATTCCTATAATCCTGTTTTCAAAAATTCTGGAGAGCGATCTGATTGGTCTAACTATAGTCTTCTTTCTATTATAAGCAAGATTTTTGAATCTTTAACTAACAAACACTTAATCTCTCTCTAATGAATCTAATAACTTACTTTCTGATCATTAATAAGGATTTCGACCTTCTTGTTCTATGGTTGATTTGCTAACAGTAATAACTGATAGGTTTTATTGTGCATTAGATAAAGGTGGAGAGGTTAAGGCCATCGCTCTTGACATTTCTTAAGCTTTTGATAAAGTTCGGTATGCTGGTCTTCTCCTTAAGTTTTTTTCTTACGGTGCATCTGGAAACATTTTTAAAATTATTGAATCCTTCTTTTCCAATCGTAGTATAAAGGTTGTCCTTAATAGACAGCACCTTTCTTCTTATTCTGTAACCTCAGGGGATCCTCAAGGTTCAAGCTCGACACTTTCTTACTCTGGATTCTATTCTCTATTTCTATAAATCTCAAATCTGGCCTTAATACTGTTGAATACTGTTTCCATATCTGGGGCGGATCTTCTAATGATGCCCTCTTTCTTTTAGACAAGGTGCAAAAACGCATTGTAAACATAGTTGGATCTGCTCTTGCAGCCAACCTCTAACCATTTATTACATCATTGTAATGTTGTTTCTCTTTGACTTTTTTACAAATACTATAATGGGCACTGCTCTAAAGAGCTAGCGTCTTTTGTGCCAACTACTAAAATTCATTTTTGTGTTACATGTCATTCAATTAAGTCTCATCCTTTTTCTGTGACTGTTCCTAAGTGCTTCAAAAACTCTCATTCCTCTAGTTTTTTTCCTTGAACATCAGTTCTTTAGAATTCTCTTCCTTCATCTTGCTTTCCTGATTCATATAATTTGCAATCTTTCAAGTCGTCAATTGTCATCTTGCTCTACAATCTTCATCTTTTCTCTTTCAGTAACTTCCAACTCCAATTAGTGGTTGCTTGCAGCCTTGTTGAAAGCGAATATGTTAAAAAAAAAAAAAAAAAAAAAAAAAGATCTGTCACAGAATTCAACAGCAAAAACTTTATAAAAAACTTGTATGCTATTACTTGAAGATATAGTTTATACAAGAAGAATTTAATACTTAAGCTAGAATTTAAAATAATATTTTATTAACCTTTTAATTTACTGCTCAAGAATTTTTAATATTGTAGCAATAACTAGAAGTTTGTAACTTTTTAAGATCTATTTATTTAGTATGATTTTATGCAAAAATTGAAGTTTTTGTTTCAAATTTTTTTTTAATTTTAATTCTATCACAGACCTTTATTTTCGACTATCCTAAAATAATCACGCATTGAATAAAAGTAAAAGTATGAAAATTAACTTTTTGTAACACTAGATTTATATATATTTCAGACTTTTTAATGGACTTTAATGTAAAATTTAAAATCTGATTTTCTGCTGGGGATGGTGTAACCATTTTTTGCACTTTTTATCCTGTGACTACTAACAGTTGTAAACAAAACAACAAAGAAAGTGAGGCTGACTAATTAAAGATCCACGAAAAGGTTTTAATTACCCAAAGATTGTGCCAAATTTTAGTCACCAGGGGTTATTATTATTGCTACCTATTAATATTAGTAAAGGTTAAGTAAAGTAAAATTGACACTTTTTATTTCTTAAAATTAGCTATACGCTAAAAAAAATCATTAAAATTGTTAAAAAACAAAAGGAAAAAAATCTTTGTTTTTGTATTTCATTTAAATTATTTTTTTCTTATTAAAATGGCAAAAAAAAACAACCTGTTGCCAAATGTGCATAATCCATTTTTATGTGCTTGAGTGGAAAATCTTAATTTGCCACTCAAATCAGTTGTAAAAACATGATTTGAGTGGCAAATCAGTTGATTTGAGTGGCAAATTAGGATCAAGAGAATGTATCCTAATCTTGTGATCTTGTAATCTTGGTGAGAGATTGAAGATGATTTATAACTTTAAGCAACTGATGGGGCTCCATTAGTGAAAGAACAGAAGATGGGCTAGTTTCTTCAGTTTTTCTCAACATAAGATTAAGTAGTTAGTGCTTCCTAAGTTGTCTGATTAATATTTTCTACAGTCTCTTAACAAAAATGTTCTTATCATCTTGAATAGCTTTTAAAATATTCATCAACACTTTTGTGATCTTTCATTTAAGCTATGAAACCTTGCAATTGTAAACGCAACCTCTGCATTTAGCTTTATAACCTATTTTCCCAAACTCAGCTGGTATTTCTCCAAACCATGTCCAAACTGCATCTCTTTATTTGCCAGCACCAAACATTATTTTTATTTTTAATCTAGATTGTATTTATTTTTAAAATAAGCAGTTGTAAATGAATAATTTACTTTTTTAAGTTTTTGAAAAAGAAAAAAAATTGAATATAACTCTTACACGAAAGGAATATATTAATATCTATTATATAATTAGCAATAAAATAGGAATTACTGTAGTTAGTCAATTGGTTGAATCATGAAACTTGAATAGTTCAAAGATAAAAATAAATAATCAGTAATAGGGATTTTTCCATATCTAATCTTGCTCATTCCAAATGATGGAGTCATTCCAAATTATGACATATCAATATCTTTTTCTTTATTTACATCATTCAGAACCTTTTTCTACTTATTAGTTATATATTTATATATCTAATCTAAAAAGTAAGAAATTAGCACATTGCATCTTTAATAAATACATATAGAATTTTTAACATATACAGAGTAAAGTTTAGATGTCTGCATGCAGATTTTTTGTTTTTTAATTTTTTTTTGTATTCATTAATGTGTTCCCAGAAGTCCTTACAGTCATATCACAGAACACCGCGGAAGAGCATTTAACTATGAAGTTATACGCCTCCTTATGAATGTTGCCTATTGGGGTAGAGCTGGTGTTGAACCATGGTTGCGTGTATATATACATACATATATATATATATATATATATATATATATATATATATATATATATATATATATATATATATATATATATATATATATATATATATATATATATATATCAGGCCTTGCGATAAAGTGTCGGGCGATGTGAATTTTACGGTTTTGCATGTAGCTAGGGCTATTTGCGTTGAGCAAAAAAATTTTTGTTTGAGTATATTTACAGATATTTTTGAGCGGAGTTTTAATGAAGTAATTTACGATTATTTTAACATTTAATAAAGTATTTAAAAAACCGCATGCAGTTGATATAAAAGTTTGAATTACAAAAAAAATAAATATGCTCATTATTTACAAGTAGAAAAAATTCAGATTAAAAAAAAGTTTAAATCTTTTTAAGCTAGCATTTTAATAAAATTAATCAGCAATAGCAAAGTTTTCTTTTAGTTTTAAATTTTTAACTTAAATAATTGTTTTACGGGGGTTTGTTAGGTTTTAAAATTATTTATAGATTTAAAAATATTTATTAACTGTTATACGTATTTAAAGTATTTAAGAGTAATTTCGAGGAAACATTTTAAAAATGGGTAAATAAAAAAAAAACAAAAGGATTAATATTAAAACATATTCCACTTGATTCAATAAAAAGTACAGCTATTAAAATTTTTGTAAAAAGTAACTTAAAAAAAATTACTTGAATAATAACATTGCTTTTTTGTTGCTGAAAAATAGAACGTCAATAGTTTTTTGAATAATTTTTAATAATAATTTTTTCGCTGAAATATTTCTTTTATACCTAAAAGATTTTTATTCTAACATTTTATTTTATTTTACATATTATATTATATTATATATATATATATATATATATATATATATATATATATATATATATATATATATATATATATATATATATATAAACAACTATATATATATAAACAACTATTATATAACTATTTACTAATAATAATAATTTACTAGCAGTAAGCAACCCATAATACGCGTTGTTAGTAAATAAAATTAAAAAAAAAAACGCGTATAGAAAAGCCTAGAAACTACTTTAAAATAGAAAAGCCTTGAAAATGACGTAATTTGACTAATAATATTAAATTAGTGTATTAATATTATCAGATATAGGAGTTATTTTTAGCTTTTGCAAAATCTAAGTTGATTAAATCAATAAATAAACAATTAGTCTGATTTAAATTAATTTATGATTTACATCAAAACAACCCTGTTGGCGACTGAAAAAAGACCTGAGTCTTAAGTTTTAATTTTTTTTTACAATTTTTTTGCAAATATCAACATCAATAATGTATTACATAATGTACAACCATTTGTATATAGTGTAAATTATTTTTTACACAATGTACAACCTTCTGCACATCATGTGAATTAGTTTTATTAGTAATTAGATTTTTATAAGTTTTTTATCTAAGAGTATTATATTTCTTAAATGCTAGTTTGAGTTATGTTGAGGAATTGGCTCATACAACACCATCAGCTGTTTTGATGTTAAATCCACTTGATGCAGCAAGACCTACTCCTTATTGGTTTGGTATAGACCCAGTAAGTATAATTTGTTTTTCTATTAAAATACTCTATGTGCACTAATTTTTCTCTCAATTTTTTAAAGGTTTTCTACAAAAACTGTACTTTACATTAATATAATAGTTTATTATGTCATTTTACTTCATTTAATAGTATGTTATTTAACTTCATTTAATTGTTTATTTGCAAATACAAGAATTTTACTATAGATAAAACAGTATTTGTATTTTTTTGCCATATATGATATATGCATATATGAAAATGTTTAATAATTTCAATGCGTATTTTTTAGGTATGGCAACTAGCTGTTAACAAATTAACTTTTACTAATTCATTCAAAATGAAAATTTCTGTTATATTTGGTGTAATTCACATGATGTTTGGTGTTGTACTCAGCATATTTAATCATATGTGAGTTTTTTTATTTCAATTTTTGGGGGATTTCAAGTCACTGTGGACCAAAAAGCATACTAGATTTGTTTGAGTATCACCTAGAATTTTTTAGAAATACATGGTTTTTGTTATAATAATCAAGACTCTTTATTTTTATTGTGATACTACTAGGAAGGTTTAACAACTATGCAAATATTATGATACCAGTAACAGGGTGATCGTGAGGATCCTGAACCCCTGACCTGACTAGGATGTTCCTTAAACCTTTCTATTGTCTGATAGGCTGCTGTCTTTGAAACACCAAACTTCGCTGCAACCTTACACTCAGAGGACCCCTGTTCATAATACATACAAGTATGAGCTTTTTTTGTGGGGATCAAACTCTTATTATGACCCTTTTAAAGCAAAGTAAATTATTACATTAAATTGTGTTTTTTATTGAATCATCAGCTGTTTTTTTACAAATATTGATTATGGCATCATCACTATGCAAATGATGCAAAAGAATATCTGTATTTTTTAATGGTGTTCTTATTTTAATTGGCGATACTATATCTGTATATGGAACTTACCTATGAGAAAAAAACTAGCTTGAAGCGGGTTTTATTTTAATATTGTGTTATTTTAATTGTGGGTAAAAGTAGCAAGATCGGGTTTTATTTTAATTGTGGGTAAGAGTAGCAAGATCGTTGAATGGTAATAGTATCATAATAAAAATATTCTGTCTTGATTTGAGTCAACTTTAAGAAAAGCTTTTGTTTCAAGAACTTTGAAAAAACTTGAAAAAAGCATGTTAAAATATCAAGAGAAAAAAATAAAATGAAATGGGGAAGCAGGATAGCTTTGTAATTGATAGCTATTTATTTTATTTTTTCTTTATCTGGTAACCGTTGGAATTAAAAAAAGATAAAACATTTATATATAATATTTACTACATAAATGTGTTTAAAATGTTTTTAGTCATCATCGAGAATGGATTGGCATATTTGGAGAGTTTATACCTCAGGTAATTTTTTTATTTTTGGTTTTTACACTTCTTTTTTTTATCAAGGCCTTCTTTTTAACAGACAAGTTTATACATTTATATATATATAATTTTTATTATAATTTATATATTTATATACTTAGATATTTATAATGATTATAAATTATTAAACTATGTTTTCATTAATTATTTATTTTAAGTTTTCTCCAAATTTTGTGAATGGCTCTATTTATCTGCATGTGTAACATATATTTATACATAAGTTTGTGCATGAAGTATTATGAAGTATTTATCTGCATTTGTAACATATATTTATACATAAATTTGTGCATGAATTATTATGAAGTATTATATTTTAAATGTTAAAAATGTTTAATGCATTAGCTTAATGTGAATTTGACGTCGTAAAGTTCACTTTATTTTTTTTAAAAACAAACTTTTTTAAACTACAAAAATATAATCAATTACCTCAAAACCAGTTTAATTTAAAAATTAATTCTTATATAAAAATTTATTATGTAACTAATAGAATATTCCTAGTAACCAGACACTATTTTTTTCGCTAACTACAAGTACACTTGTAAAGTGCTGGCATCATTGATTTGTTAGAGTATACTTGTAGTTGGCAAATTCATGACCCCAGCACTTAAATAAAAAATTAACAACTGGTTACTACAAGTGTACTTTTTGTTGACAGCAAGCGTGTTAATAATAAATAACTAAAGTTTTGCATTTTTTTAAAATATATAAAAATAAACTTATATCTTCTTTCCTTAACATTCTTATAAATGAATTCAAATGTTAAATTTTAAAAAAAATTTTATTTCTTAAATTTTTAATTTGGATATAGCGATTAATAATGATTTTTTATTAATAAAATGTTAGTGATTCACAAATAAAAAATATAACTTATTGCAAAAATAAAACTGCATTTAATTACTTTACCAGTGATTATTTTAGGTTTCCAAGTGCCATTTATTTATTAAAGTACCATTTATTTAAGTGCCATTTATTTATTCAAGTACCATTTATTTAAGTATCATTTATTAAAAATTGTATATCAATTTTGACTTATAAAAAAGAGTTTAACATACTTAAAAAAAAATTTGGCATGCACTCTATCAAGGTGTTACCCAGGAAAAAAATTTCATACAGCCTTTTTGCGAAATTGGGAATTTAGGTGCAGCTAAAAAAAAAAAAAAAGGTCCTTACTTTCTGCAATTAAATTTAAATCAAAATAAATTTTCTATTTTTGCTAGGAGTTACATTTACAGCAGGACTATTTTTCTACTTTATATATGTTTAATTTTAATTAATCAACTTGTTTCATTATTAGCAATCTTCCAAAGTTTTCATTTAAATTGCTTCTTTTCTTTGTTTTTGATATACTGCAGCTGTTTTTCAAAACGCCTTAATTATGTATTTTGAGAAAAGCGCAATTTAAAAAAGGAGAAACTCTTTGTAAAACGCTTTTTGAAACTAATAATTTTTATGAATTTTGTAGACATCTAAACTAGCATATTTTGTAAAAATGTCAAAATTGATTTTTTTTACCTAAAGGCGTTTTTAAAAATGGCTGTAGTATAGTAGAGAGAATAAATTATTAAATTTCATTGAAACTTTGATCTATTTTAATTGCCTAATTCACTCTTTAAATACAGGTTTAAATGATTAGTTCTGAAGAAATATATTTGAATATATAGTTATATATTTAAATACTTAAAAATTTAATGAGCATATTTAAATATCTACTAAATTAGGTATTTAAATAAAAATTATATTTTTAAATACAAAATTATTATTTTTTTAATTTACAAATATACATTAAATATCTACGTAATTTTTGTATTTGTAAGTTTAAAAAAAAAAATTATATTTATAAATATTGGCTAATAATTAATAATATTATAATATTTAATTATCTTCTTTTATATTTTACGCAAATATAACATAGATAATATATTTCATTGCAAGTTTTATTTTGATTATTTTCGTTGTTATCTTCGGTTTACTTTACTAGCTGGTTTACTTTACTAGCTGAAATATTAATAAATCTTTTATTATAAAAAAGTTATTAACTTATTTTAAAGTATAATATTTATTAATATGAAAATTTCTTTGTAACTTTCCCAACTTAAGATAAACAGCAAAAACCTAAATAAAGAGTTTTTGAATAATAAAAATAAATTAATAAAATAATTTATTAAACATATTGAAAAATCTGAACTTGAGAATAAGTGACGTCAATTAAGATTTAAAAAAAAATTTTTTTTTAACTTTTGAATGAATGATCTTGCTAAGTTAATGGCGACACGTTTTTACACTTAAAAAAAAATCAATCAATTTAATTCATTTTTTTGTCATGCATTTTTACTAGTCTAGCGCGACACTTTAAATCTGAGACTGACTTAATTTTTTTTTTTTTACTATGAAACTTTTTTTACTATATAAACCTTTGGGAATTTTAAACCAATTGGGAATGCCGCGTTACACGCGGTGCCATCAGGTTGGGTAACACCCTGTCTATTTAGAGGTAATTTATTTAAAAGGAGTTTAAAATATCGTTGCATTTTCATTCAATAATTAAAGAATCTTTAGTAAAAGTTTTAAATAAAATTGAAATATAAATTGAATTTTCCTTGGTTTTGAATTTATTTTTGAGATTTTCATTTGTAAGTAGCGCTTATGCTTATATAAAAATGTAATTGTTTTTCAAACCTTTGTTACAAACTTTTTTACATAATCGTCATTCAAAGGTTAAAGTGGTTTTATAAGAATAATTACTTCTTTTATCTTACTGCCTAAAAGATATCTTTTAACTAATTTAAATAATAAAAAAGTATTTAAAAGTTGGGTAACCCAATTTGCTTTAGTCATACATAAAATAGCTTTATGTGTATATTATTATGTGTATATAAATTGCAAGCTGCCTAACAAAGCCTGCGAGAGTGTCTAATATTTGTTCATATTTTAGTGTTTTTTTAATGTTTCTAAAAAGAAACATTCAAGAACAAAATAAAAACTTCTTTCAGATAGTTTCATAGACTTATTATTGTGCTTCAACTGTGCTTCAGTGCTTCTTTGAGTAAATAAAATGAATTGAAATGCTTATGAATTGCTATGTCGCTATTGTGATTGTTATTGAATAACTTGACCTTTAATTGTTATCATAGATATTATTATTTGAAGTTTGCTTTAGTGTAAATAGAATGGCTATATTAGTTTTATTTTCTTACTGGTTAAAATGATAAAATTAATGCTAGTTTTTTTTATTTCATATATTATTTAGTTGATTGTTAATTATTTTTAATTTTTTTTTGCAATTACTAATTTTCAAATTATTTATTAGATCTTTTTATTTTTTAGTTGTTGTTTATCGGATGCATTTTTGGCTATCTCATCTTTATGATATTTTATAAATGGTTGGTTTTCAGCATTCAAAGTCCACATGTATGTTAAAATAAATTTACTTTTTTAAAATCCACATTTGAATATATTTAAAAACTTAACAATTTATTTATAGGCACCTAGCATTTTGCTAACTTTGATTGGTATGTTTTTAAAGTTTGCAAAGCCACTTGGTGAATCAGAGTTGCTTTACAAGGGACAGGTAATAATTGAAAGAATTTTTAATTTAGTTTAAACTCATTTAACTTTATAGTAGTTAGAGTTATTGTAAAACAAATGAATTGATTTTTTTTTACTAAATTATCTTTAATGGTAAAGGTTTTAATTTATTGTTATTTTAAATAGTTGTTTTTATTTTTATTTTGTAACTCACTCTCAATCCTAAGCGCTAAATTATGAATGCATGTTATTTTCAAAGGGTTTGAACTTCTTCATTATAAACTGTTTCTAAGCCTACTTTATTGTTTTTCAAGACAAACATTTAAAAAAGTTTTTTTTTTTTAATAAATTTTTAGTTTTTTACCTTTAAACTTGGGCTTGTCAGCCTATAGAAACCACAACTGGTTAGCCGGTTTTTTGTTCAGTTTTTTTGAAATTGAAAACTGTTTTTTTTTTTTTTTTAATTGTTATTTTTCTTAGAAAAACCGCCAAATTGGTTGTTAATTATACGTTACTAAATAACTAAATAGTTTGAAGATCTCTTGTTAGACAAGCTATTAAGTAATGTGGAAAGCAAACATATCATGAATCATAAAAATATATATAACTTTATATGCACTTTAATATATTGCATTTAATTTTATTTATTTCAATATTTTTTCCACCAATTATTAATAGATTATGATGATATTGCATTTAGTTTTATTTCAATATTTTTATTTCCAATCAATTATAGATTACATACTGACAGAATCTTTCAAATTTTAAAATACTTATAATAATCAAAACAATCCAATAGATTTTTTATTGCAATAAGGGTTATGGGGTAAGTTAGAAAAATTTTCATGAGGCTAGTTGACTCAGCATTTACTATAAAAGAAAAAATAAATTTTTATAAAATTGTTTTGTTTTTTTAGTTTTTAGCAATATTGAAAAATATTATTTTTTACAAAATAAAAAATTTTAGGATCTTTTTTTAACAGATAAAAAGTGGGCTACTATTTTGGCTTGCTATACGAACTAACATTTGATACCAGCTGATAATGTTAAATTTTTGGTTTAAAATAAAAATTTACTTAAATAAAAGTAAAAAAATGTCTATAAATTTTCACTTAATAGTACATTAATAACCATTTCTATAATTTGCACCAGCTTTCCTTGAAGTGGGGTAAGTTAGGAAACTTTATATATATATATATATATATATATATATATATATATATATATATATATATATATATATATATATATATATATATATATATATATATATATATACACATATATACACATATATATATCTAGAAGGGCTGCAAGAAATTTTTATAATAAATGCAATTTAAAAATTTTACAAAGGTTCATAGTCTTTAAGACTGGAATAATATTTTTTAACAAATTTCCTGTTAGGACTGCAGAGTTAAAACAAAGGTAACTAGCCCAGGTCTCCCCTATCACTAACTTAAAGTATTTTTTTTTGGTAATATTTTTGTTTGTTGTTTTATTTCATTTGTTGTAAGCAAAGTTTGTTTAATTTTTTGCTATTGTTAAATTTTTTTAATTTGAGACTGGGAATGAGTACTTTAATCAATAAAATTTAATTTTAGACACTTTTCGAGAAGATATTGTTAAAGGGATCCCAAACTCCCAACACATGTTGTGTTCATATAAAAGATAATGTTAAAAAAAAAGTTTTGAACCATGTTTTTTTGATTAAAAATAAATAATGAATGCATACCGAGAAAAACTAATGTTGTTGTTTTAGCCGAAGCTCGCCTTCTCCATTTTTTTCAATAACTTGGAGTCTTTAAATTATAGGTCGCAATCTACAGACTTTGGCGATTCCTTTGAAGCGCGTTTAAATCATAAAAGTTTTAATATTTGACGTCACTGTAGATTTTTAACAAAAGAAAAGTGTAATTAAACAAAGCTGCGTTTTTCTACTTTAATTCAAAAAGTACGATGTAGTAATTTTTTAATATACAGCAAACAGCTTTTACATTTATTATAAAAGGTTTTTATTTCATAGGTGTAGTTTTTTTTTTTACCGATATCTTAATAATTTTTAGATTTATATATCTTATAATTCTTTTGTTTTTAAATTAAAACAAATATTAAAGCTTTACTTACGAATTTTTTGATTTTCATACGAGTGTTTAACATTACATAGAACGCTATGTATACGGTCTCTCGTTTTTGTGCAAGAGAGCGCAGTATTATATATTTTGAATCTTGCTTATTTTTATTTAAACAATTGGAACTTTTTTCTAACTTCTCTGGCTATTTTTACGCTATGATATTTTTTGTTTTCCTGTCGAAAAAAAGTATTTATTAACAATTAATTTCGTAAACTGACAGTATTAATTAGAGATATTTGATGAATTGTTAACTTTTTTTATTATAAAAATTTTTTCATTACGTTGATTTATTTTAAATTTCTAAATTTGCTGAATTGGATACGGATAAAAAGGAAATATCAAATGTAAAATATTTTATTTTACATTTGATTTTTGATAATGAAGCTTTTAAAATGTCAGCAACTCCATACCAATTAGAACCTGTTAAGGTTATGACAAAAAAGTACAAGAATACACTAAACAATACAGTTGACAGTAGTATCAGATATGAAAATTTGTGAAAGTGAGATCCTGGTTTTGCTTTAAAAGTACAATCAATAGCAACACAAGTCAGCATTATAAATTTTTATTATAAGTTTACTGTTCAATATTTTATAGCCATCAAATAAAAAACATGAAGTTTGTATATTTTCGCCCGTTTTATACAACTAATATTAAACAAAAATACGGAAAAATTATTATTATAAAACGCAATAATTAACACATTAATTAATGACAATAATTCAATATAAATGGTAATTGAAATTGTCAAAATATCATAACGCGCGTTAAAAAACATATGTTTGGTATTTCCCAATTTGTGTCGTATTTGGCACTTGTCTCTTAACATGAAAAATTAAAAAATTTTTAAAACACAACAAATACAAATTTTCAAGCTATTTTCTCTTCCAATTTTCATTTATTCAAAGAAAAGTTTACTAATAAACTTTTGTTTATCTTATCTAAAAAAAAGAACGAGTGACGTAAAAAAAAAAAATTCCATACAACTCTTATTCATTCGAAGTTTAATTAAGCAAAATTTTTCTTTTTCTTTTGTTCTACTCCTTTATAAAAAGAGCGAGCGATGAAATAAAAACTTTTCTTTCTTAACATAAATTTATACTTCGAGATAAAATTAAATTAGAAATAAATCAACAATGAACAAAGCAACTAACAGATTAATCTGGGACTATTTTAATATTATTGAAAATAATCGACATAAACAACATTACCAACAACAATTATCAAATAAACAATACAAATGGCATAATTTTAGGGGCTTTTTATTTTTATTGCTTAGTCGTTCTAAATAATAAGGAAATTTAGTTCAAGTTAATATTTCAATATTTACAGTTGAATTATAATAAAGAAATGTTTAATGTTGAGCTTTTTATTCAATTATTTCTTTTTTTAAATAATTGAAAAAAAAGCTCAACATTATTTGTTTTAAAATAATTGAATAAAAAGCTCAAAATAATTTGTTTTAAATATATTTAAAAGCGATTATTTAAACTAATTTTTTTCGCTTGACTTCCCGAACTTCATGCAAAGCAAATTGAGATAAAATATTGTCTAACCAAATAAAAATGCTGTTACTAATTTTATAAGGGTAATTAATGTAAAATTTTTTATCAGTCTTGATTGAGATAATTGATATTTATATTCAGAGTCTTGGTTGAGATAATAGATATTCATAATTTATAAACATTAAATATATGGCGCAAAAACAATTTATAGCAACGAACTAGCATAAAATATTTGAGGTTTTTAATATCTTTTAAAATGTTAAAAAAAAAAAAAAAAAAACTAAACAAATAATCAAAAAAAGTTTGAATAAAAATAAATAAAAATATTTCCAGAGTTTCATTTATTAAAAAGTCTACTGTGATGTCAAATACTAAAACTTTTATGAATTAAACGCGCTTCAAAGGAATAGATTGCGATCTATAATTTAAAGACTCTGAGTTATTGAAAAAAATGGAGAAGGCGAGCTTCAGCTAAAACAACAACATTAGTTTTTTTCAGTATGCCTTCATTATTTTTAATCAAAAAAACTTGGTTCTAATCAAAAAAACTTGGTTTTTTTTTAACATTATCTTTTATATGAACACAGCATGTGTTGGGAGTTTGGAATCCCTTTAATAACTTAACAAATGAAAACTTGAATATTTTTCAAGAAACTCAAATGAACTTAATTAAAGCACCATATTTAAATCCTTTTGACTTTAAAGTAACACAAGATCATTATTCATATTTCTGTATTACACGTTAAAATAAGCTTGCAGCAAAATATTGAAAATTTGATAGAATTTTTAAGCATTGTCAATTACATGCTCAATGTCATAGTTGTTACAGAGATTTGGCAGGATACAGAAAGTTATATTGAGTTAAACTTTGTCTTGAATTAGTCATCTTATAAATTAGTCAACCAAGAGTCAGTGGAAAAAATGGTAGAGGATTTATGTCTAGGTAGAGGTACTTGAGGAGCTAGGTAGAGGTACTTGATAGTGGTCTTTATGTCTGGTAGAGTTTTATGTCTCTAATAAGTATATTTTATAAAATGAAAAAACCTACGTTTCTTAACTATGAAAGTCATAGAAATTATTAACAATAAATTTTGTTTAAAAAACTATTATAAGGATTAATAAAGAAAATAAAAAATATATTATCGGTGGCATTGGTGACATAAACCTATATATTATTGGTGACACTAACCTTGATACTTAGTATAACCTTGATACTTGATACAAAATCTTTTTTTGATATGCTCTTTAAATTCAATGTCTTATCAATTATTAATAAACCCATACATGATACAAAAAGTTCAGTATCTGCAATCGACAATATTTTTATTAATAACGTCCTAAATACAACATTTAAAACCGGAATATTTCAGACAAATAACAGTGGTCACTTTCCTATCTTTTTAAAAATAAACATTTAAAAGCTGCGTCTGATAGTAAACCTAATGTTATTAATTTGAAAAAACGTAACATAAGCTTTAATAACTATATTATATGTAATATAACTATATAACTAATTATAATGAACTATCATGTAAGTTAAAACAAGAAACAAGTAGAATTGTATATATATGTCAAAATACTAATGAAGCTTTTAATATCCTTCTAAGTACATTATTGGAGCACATTAATGAAACAAGGATATAAAAATTAAAGCAAAAGCAAATGATATTCTGTGGATGAATCAATATTAAAATGCTAAAAAATAAAAAATATAAAAATTGTACAATAAATTCTTAGAAAATAAAAACACAGAAAATAAAAACAATTTACAAAATATATATAAAAAAATTTTACCAAACACTGATTAAAAAATGCAAAAAAAAAGCTATTATAGTATGCTAATTTCAAAATATAAATTTAATATATAAAAACATGGTCCATAATTAATGACATAATTGGAAAAAAAAATATTGCATCTACATTACCTAAAAGAATTAATATTGATAACACTGATATATTCTGCAAAAACTTAATTTCAAAAGAGTTCAACAAGTATTTCACAAATGTTGACCTAAATCTTGCCAATAAAATAACACTAACAACAAAATCATTTAAAATCTTCCTAAAACCCTCTAATGACAAAATATTGTACGCCAATGAATTAAGTTATAAACAATACAAAGCAGCATATTCTTCTTTTAAAAAATAAATTCCCAGGATATGATGAAATTTCTAGCAATATAGTTGTTTTTAACAAATTTGTTTAAGCAAACCTTTGTTTCATGTACTGAAACCGTCATTAAAGTTTGGTATTTTCCCTGATGCACTTAAAATAGCTAAAATAATCCCAATTTACAAATGCAACAATCTTTCAGACATTACAATATAATTCTTACGATATAACGCATAATCTATAATAGAATATTTGAATATTTCACAAAAAACAACTTATTCTACCCAAAACAATTTGGATTTCAGAAAAACACATAACTAAACATGCAACTATTGAAATAGTCAACCAAATAACTGATGGTTTTGACAACAAATTTATTTTAAGAGTATTTAAAGATCTATTTAAAGCATTTGACACATTTGACCGTTGCATTCTTTTAGAAAAATTGAACATGGTAAAAATAATAAAATCTTTTCCTTGATTAAAATTTATCTTACAGATAAAAAGCAATATGTTCATAATGTACCATCTGAAATATTAAATTTCATATGCAAAGTATTGGAAAGACCAATCCTTGGTTCCCTCCTATTCTTTATTTATATTAATGACGTTTGAATACATCAATAAAACTGAACTCAATAATGTATCCAGGCTATACAAATTCACAGTCCGCTCCTTTTCTTACCAATAATGATATCAAACTTCTATATTTGGATATGAATATGGAATTAAATTAAGTAAAAAGTTGGTTTAGAGCAAACTAATTCTCACTTAATAATGAGAAAATGAATTAATTCTATTCCATAAAAAAACATAAGAATTAAACATTCCTATTAAGTCGCACTTTATTTAAATCGTACAATAAAAGCAAACAAGTATAAAATTTTTAGGAATCTATGTCAGTGAAAATTTATTCTTGGTTTACATATATAAGTTATATACAGTCTAAAATTACCAAAATTGTTGCCATAATGTATTGAATTGAACCATGTAATACAATCAACAAAATTTCCAAAAAATTTTAGGCTACAAAAACTTGCTTACTGTAGCATATACTTTTTTCATAAACAAGAACATGCAAAACCCCTTATGAAAGATATGAAAATGATGGATATATTTGAAGCAAATATCTATCATCATCTAATTTTTATGTATAGATACTACATCAACCTTATATATGCTTCAACAATAAGTTTGAAATTAATCTAAATCAAAAGTATATGCTAGGATCGAATAGAAACAACAACTATAAATTGCCTCAAAAATGTAATAAACTTTCAGAATTTTGTATATCTTATCGAGAACCTAAGGTTTTAAAATTTGATCATAAGAAAAGTTTTTCTTTTTTTAACTAAATTTTGTCTAGACCATTTTAATGGTAACTTAGTTATTATTACAATTGTTTATGCAAGCTTTTTACCATTACAATGTATTTTTTAAACTTGTACATAGGAGTTCTATGAAAAGATAACGTAATGTTATCCTTATTTTCTTTAAGCCCCTCTACCTGCTTAAACTTAATTTCGTTGTGAGTCCATTATATACTTTTAAATTTTTTTTTTTTTTTAGATTGTTAAATAACAATCTCAATTGTTAACATATTTGTTTTTGTAATTTTGACTTTTCTATTACTTTAAATATTATAAATTGTAGTATATTTTTACAGTATACTTTTGTAAACAGATAGCGTGCATAATTTTTCATTGAAAATAGTACATTCAGTTATGAACAATATAAAAATTAAAAATAGTTTGATAAGTTGCGACAAAAAAGAATTAGAAAGGAAAAAAGGCTTTAATAAAAGCTGATCCAAGTTCATTAGGTTTGAACTAAATTAATAATGAATAAATAAAGATATTTGTTACTGTACATTGACAATAATTAATGTTTATTAATTAATGAAAAAAACTAAATTTTTTATTTTAGCTTAAGTTTTAAAAATTTTCTTTAGTTTACAGATCTAATTCCAGTATATCAATTCTGTAGGTTATATTGGATTTAAAATAAAATTTTGCTTTTATAATAAAAAAACTGGTGTAAAATCGGTTACCTGGTTTTATAAAAAAAAAAAATCTCCGGTTTTTGCCAAGTCCTAATGTAAACTGTTGTGTATACAACTATTACAACTAATACAACTATCGTGTAGGATGTTGTTCAACCAATTTTGGTAGTTGTTGCTGTGATCAGTGTTCCATTCATGTTGCTCTCAAAACCGTTCTATCTTCGCATGCAGCACAATAAGTTGTCTCGTAAACGTTTTGGAAGGCTGGAGGAGTCCCATGTTAATGTAGCAGCTGATCACGAAGAATTGCATCACAAAGATGACGAAGAGGAAAAAGTGTTTGAATTCTCTGAGGTATTTTTAAAAAATGTTTTCTAATTTTATTTGTTGTTATTAGTATTCATGTTAATATTTATATTAATGTTATTAATATTCATTGTAATAGTAAGTGGGTTTCTCATACTTATTAATTACAATAATTAACTAATTAAAATGAAAACTTAAAATAATAATTTTAAAGTGATTCAGCAATTTTAATTCTTAAAAATAACAATTTTAAGGTAATTAGGCAATTTAAATGTTCCTCATTTTTATTTTTTCTAATAAATTGAAGCTCACTTTTTTATCTTGGAAAATGGAAGGAAATTGCAACCTAAATATATATGTATTGAGTATTATATATATGTAAAACCTAAAAATATATGTATTGAGTATTTTATAAATATCTGAACTTTATAAATATAAAAATAACTTACTATTTGATAATTAACGAATTAGTATTCCTTTTTTAAACTGGATTCTGGTGCTGTCAAAAATGAAATCCTTGTTTGTCTCTTTTTAATGGGTTGATTCGCCTCCATTTTAATAGTTTGATGTTTGATAATTTTAAAATTCAATAATAGAAATAAAAAAGTGCAAACGCATAACAATAATTTTAAATTTATTTAAAAATAATTCATTCGTAACTAATGGCCGGAAAAGCTACGAGAAAATAAATGAAAAGATTGAATGGAAAAAAAAAATTACTCTAGAAGAGAAAATGTTCTTAGTTACCACAATTTCATATAATAATTAATTGAGAACTTTATTATTTAAAGTTAACGACGAAAAACGAAAAACGAAAAACGAAAGAAAAAAAATGATTGCACATTTTGCTCATTAAAATCATTTTAAAAATTGCTAATGTAAATTTAAATAGAGTTTATAAAATAAGCAAATAATAATTTTATTAATTTGCGCCAAGATTTTGTACTCAAAATTAACATTGAAATTAATTGCTTGATCTATTGAGTTCCTTTTTGATCCTAACACTCTACCGCATAGTTTAAAATTTGAAGCTCCTCATTCATTCAGTTTGCGGCAAAAACTTATGAGTAAACAAATAAAAAGTTAAAAGACAATTTTTTTTGAGATTAATGCAATTGTTATATATTATTATATTATTATTAAAATAATATATTAAATACAATTATTATTATATACTTTATTAAATTAATAAATTATAATAAGAACTTCAATCATTTATGAAAAAATAATTTTCACCACCAATAAAATGAAAGTAATTTAAATAAGTGAAGAAAAGAATTATTAGATGTCACGTCTTATGTTATATTCGTTAGCAAAAGGAATTTAAATAAGTGAAGAAAAGAATTATTAGATGTCACGTCTTATGTTATATTCGTTAGCGAAAGGAATTTAAATAAGTGAAGAAAAGAATTATTAGATGTCACGTCTTATGTTATATTGGTTAGCAAAAGGAATTTAAATAAGTGAAGAAAAGAATTATTAGATGTCACGTCTTATGTTATATTCGTTAGCGAAAGGAATTTAAATAAGTGAAGAAAAGAATTATTAGATGTCACGTCTTATGTTATATTCGTTAACGAAAGGAATTTAAGAACTTATTGTAAACAATAAGCCTAATTTGAGCACTTTTTTAAAATTTTAATGATTATATGATAATTTAGTACATGCTTTTTCCAAATAAAAATCTGAATATTTTTCAAATCTTGTTTTTCAAAATTCTTAACTGGTCAACAATTCTGTTGACTGGCAAGAATTCATTTTGGGAGGTCAAAATAGCATTTTTATTCATTTTAGGCGGTCACTGACCGTTGACCAGCTGTTATTTTACACACTGATATATATATATATATATATATATATATATATATATATATATATATATATATATATATATATATATATATATATATATATTTATACACAACCCTCAAAATTTGTCAGTCATTTCGGTAGAGGTCTTTGAGGTCAACAGTTAGGTCAGCATTCGGTAGTGTTGACCTAACTGTTGACCTCAAAGTGTTTGAGGTCGGCAAACTGACCTCAATATTTTAGAGGTCAACAAAAAAATTTGATGCAATAGTCTTACCGTAAGACATAGAAACAAGGCTGTCAATTTTTTGTGCTCACTCTGTAACAAAATCAAGATATTTAATCAATTTCTTACAGATTCTAATATTGACATTGCCTGTCTAACCGAAACTTGTCTTAACTTGAGTGGTAAGCAAGCTATTAATATTATTAGCTAAATCAATAATTATTACATTTACTTAAGCACTGAAAGTCAGGATCGCATAGATGGTAGTACTATTATATTCATAAACAAAAAATACTCAAATAAAATAAAACAAATACAATTAATGACCGACCATGCATCTAACTTAGCGTCTAAACAAGAAATTGAGTTAACAATTGCTTGTTTATACCTTAAAATACCTCCCCTGTGGATACTCCTCCTGTCTAGTAATATGTGCCTATATTCATGTATTGTCTCAAAGCAAACATCACAATACATCTTATCAACTTACACAACTTATTGAGTCAACCATAACTCACTGTACATTGGGCAACAAACCACTAATAATTCATGCAGGGGATCTAAATGGCTGCCCCACTGATTTTATTCGTCATTCTCACCAACTCATTCACCTCAATGCACATCCTACCCGAAAATCAACTGTTCTTGTCATTATCTTAAGTAATGCTTCTAAATGCTATGCGTCTAATACTTTTCCTAGCTCTGGTAATTCAGATCGCTTAGTTGTAGTTAGTCAGCCTTTAAATCTTTTTTAAATCCACTCGCCCAGTTCCCCGCAAGATTTCTTACCGGTCAGGTAGAATTGCTGACACTGTTGTACTGATACGATGTACCGCTACTGAAACCTTAGTTGACTCACCGTATAGAATAAAAACTGCTTGCAACAATTTTTATTATTCTATACTCTCTGCTGAAGACATCTGCCAACCTCTAAGAGCAACAACGCCTGTTAACCCCAAGTCTTGGATGATATTATTTATTCAAAGCCTTATAAAAGAGCATCAACATCTTTTTTTTCTCTGGGCATTACAAGGAGTGGAAACAACTTGCCAATTTTTTTTTTAACATCCTCGCTTCCAGCAAGGCTGCAAGCAACCACTTTTTGTAGTTGGAAGTTACTGGATGAGAAAAGATGAAGATTGTAGAGCAAGATAACGATTAACAGACAACTTAAAATATTGCAAATTATATGAATCAGGAAAGCTAGATAGAGGAAATGAATTCCAAAGAACTGATGTCCGAGGAAAAAAACTAGATGTATAAAAGTTTTTGGAACACTTAGGAGCAGTCACAGAAAAAGAATGAGACTCAATTGAATGACAAGTAACACAAGAGTGATTTTTAGTAGATGGCACAAGAAATGCTAGCTCATTAGAGCAGTGCCCATTATAGTATTTGTAGAAAAGAGAAAGAGAAGCAACATTACGATGATGTGATAATGGTTGAAAGTTGGTTGCCAGAGCAGGTTCAACTATTTTTACAATGCGTTTTTATACTTTGTAAAAAAGAGAAATGGCATCATTAGAAGATCTTCCCCAGTTATGGCAACAGTATTCAATACAAGGCCGGATTTGAGATTTATAGAGATAGAGAATATAATCCAGAGTAAGAAAGTGTTGAGCTTGATAAAGAGAAGTTGCAAAACTAGCATCCGCAATTTTAGCAGATGCTAATTTTGCAACGGATTTGATATATGGTTTCCAAAAAAGGTTGTAAGTAAGAGTTAATCTAAGAAGATGAAGGGTAGATGACTCATCAAGTACATTACCGTTCATAAATATAGGAAGATCTAAATTTTTGCGATAACGATTGGCTGAAAAAAATTGAGTTTTATCTGAATTAAAGTTCACCAGCCACTGTGAGCCCCATGCCGTAGCAGAGGTGAGATCTTTTTCAAACTCAAATGCCCCCTCCAAGCAATCAGAGAGGGTGGGCTTCTTATCACGATAAGAATAAATGGTAGTATCATCAGCTAACAATGTCGCCTTAGATGTAAGAATATCTGGAAGATTGTGAATTTAAAGGAGTATAGGGCCAAGGATTGAACCTTGAGGAACCCTTAAGGTTACAGAATAAGAAGAAGAGTGCTATCCATCAAGGACAACTTTTATACTACAATTGGAAAGGAAGAATTCAATAATCTTAAAGATGTTTCCAGATACACTGTAAGTTGATAGCTTATGGAGAAGACCAGCATGCTAAACTTTATCAAACGTTTTAGAAATGTCAAGATCAATGGCCTTAACTTCTCCACCTATATCTAATGCACGATAAAACCTATCTGTTATTACTGTTAGCAAATCAGCCGTAGAATGATATATTGAAATCCATATTGATGATCAGAAAGTAAGTTATTAGATTCACGATGAGAGATAAAGTGTTTGATAATTAAAGATTCAAAAACCTTGCTTATGATAGGAAGAAGACTAATGGGACGGTAGTTAGACAAATCAGATCCCTCTCCAGAATTTTTAAAAATAAGGATAACTTTCCAGCAGGCTGGAAAACAAGACTTTGATAAGCACTTGTTGAATAGTTTTGAAAGGATAGACAACACCTTCGGAGAACACTTCTGAAGACTATAACAGGTATGTTGTTTGAGCCACAAGCTGTAGAAGAGTCTAAGCAGGAAATCACTTTAGATATAGAAGCTGGAGTGATACAAATGTCAAGCAATGGATCAACCTGTTCGACAGCTATATCAGGTTGAATGCAACTAGTGGAATCAAGATATTGATGAAAAGTTCTTAGCAAACAATTCAGCTTTGTCTTTAGGTGAGGTGACAAAGTCTGAACTATAAAAAAGAAGTGAAATTACAGATTTGTCCTTATTATTGATGTTATTAAAGATTCTCCAGAAGTCACGAGAGCCTAATTTTTGTGATGAAATACGAGATTTCATGACCTTAGAATAGCGGGCTTTGGCGTTAGACAAAACCTTTTTACAATGATTCCTAGCTGTAATAAACAGACGTCTGTTTTCTGATGAATTGTTTTGCTGATAGATATGGAA